CTTTTCACAATTAAATTTTATTTATACTCCAGAATACGGTATACAATTTTCAATTCTAGAGTAGAGGACTATAATCTAGGACTCTCTAAGCATCTATTGCAGTGCTGTTCAAACTTTTTTGAGCCACGGCACACCTTAGGGGTAAGCCATTACCAAAGTCGCACATAACATACGGCTCGCGTCATTTACAAAAAATTTCTACGGAACACCAGTGTGCTGCGGCACACAGTTTGGACAACACTGATTCTATTGAGTACTTTTAGGCATCAAAATTTCTTCTTAAGATGCGAATACCCTGACGCTTAACATTTAGCAATGAAATACAAATAGAATCACAAAATAACTCCAAATTCCTTTCATTTATCAACCCTAAATTGACTGCAAATTTTGCAATCTAGTCACAAAGACAAGATTAAGAATTAAGAACTCAATTTTTGTTTCCAAAATAAATCGTTTTAAAAAAATTCTTACAAAGCACACGAAAAACTTTTTCTTCCATTCCAAAGCTTCTTCCCATTCATTCATTCACTAACTTACTTCATGCTTAAGTATATGTGGAAAACTTTTTAACTAAAAGCATACAGTACAAAAAAAAATTCTCGTGCTTTATTCTTCCCCGAAAAAAAAATAACATTGCAAAAAAATATATAAAACAAAAAACGTGTCCTGAATTCATACGCACGCGCGCATATGAATACTTATAATGTTATAGCATGTTGTAATACATACATATGAAGTACATCTATACAAATGCCGAATGTTACGAGAAGTGAAGCTAAATTAAATGCATTTTTTTTTATTCTTCTTTTAGCTTTAAGCTGTTGCCTTCTTCATAAGTTTGTGTATCTCTCACATAAATAATAATAATTTTTTTTTGTGTAGCTTAATGTTGTCTCTGTCTCTTTTGATATTCATATTACTCGTATTTCAATTACAGTTACTGCTACTCTTGTGTATTTTTTTTTATGCATTAAAAAATATATCAAATAGAATAAGAGGAAATGGAAAAATAAGCATCAGTGAAGAGGAAAAAAGAGCTTGAGTTGATGTTTATGCTTCTCTGCATAGTTGGGTGTTTGGTAATGATGTCTAACCTTTTAGATGAAGATATGGAGCCTTATGCTGTCCAACACTTCTAAAACTGCAGTTCCAATAGGAAAATACACTAAAAACTCCCAATTCCTTAATAGACATCATTTATAATCGACCCCATAGAAGATATTTATAAATAAAATTAAATACAAAAGGAAGAGCAGAGAATAAAAGTAGAAACAGCAAGAAAACATGATTCTTGTTTTTTTTTTTAATTAAAAATTATCAGTGCAAAATGAAAGAATGAAAAAGTACAAGACTGAGATGAATGAAAGGAAAAATCGATAAGAAACAGCACAGTCATCATCGTATGAAAAAGGAAAGGAAAAAAAAAGCTTCATCTCATTTTTCATCTATGGATATATAAATCGAACATATATCTAACCGTATAAATCACGCATCTCACAATATTTCTCAATTCAATTGAATGTGGAAAGGAGAAAGTGCGTGTAGCATGAAGGATTATTGAGTAAGTTGAAAAGTTCGACAAAATTGGACATCAAACTGCGCTTTTGGTTTTTGTAAGCTATTCAAAGGATGACTAGCTACTATTGTCATAATCAAGAGATCTCATCAGTTTAAAGCCTTATCACAATTTTTCCCGCCAAAAAACTCAACAGATTGCTGCCCCAAAACACAAAAATAACGATGAACAACATCCATATTCTGTAATGTCATTGCAGTATCATTATTCGAGAATACTCAAACCTTTCTGTTACAATATTATGAAAGATGTACCGAAATTCTTTAGAAAAAAAATTTCTCAACAAACTTGTTGAAGCTCTTGACAACGGATGGAAAGAGAAGTTTAAAGGAGGTCGAGTCTCATCATCGACCCTTATTGGCATCAAATTGATCTTACATTGAAAATTGGATAGATGCTTGTGCATTTTGAGTGCTAAAGCTTTGTTATTCTTTCCTGCAGTAAAAAGTCATTAAATTTGAGAGCAAAGTTATTCATAAATGATGTTCAGTACGAATATTGACTCTAGATTTCCATTAGTTCAGTAACATTCCTGTGGTACACCAGACTCTCTCCATATCCTATGCCTTGATTTCCTCAAATTACCAAAATCTATTCTCCCACATATTATTAAATCATTGATCAAATGTCATCATAAATCAATCGATTTCTCCGACCATAATCTCTTGATGGACATACATGTCATATGTCAAGACAGTCAGTCACAAAAACTGTATCATTAATATTCACTGCTAAAAATGACAAAAAATTTTCTTCTTCTCGTATTTTCATTTCTTAATCGCGTGTATGGAAAAAGAGCGATGAACAGAACGGATGAAAAAAAAAGTGAAAACCCTGAAAACCCATAAAATATGTGTACATCCAAAATGTCATCAAGTAAGTAAGTAAGATGATGTTTGAGATGATTTTTCTGATAAAATATTGTGTGTAACAAGCACAAGTCACAAACAAAATTGTATGAAGCATAGGCAGAGTGTGTAAAGATGCTGAAAACAGATAAGGTCCATAAAATACATTGAGTCATTTAAGAATAAGACTTTATGGTTCTATCCGGATTAGCTTCATCTTATTTTAAAGGGGATTTCTTATTTTATTCTCAGAACACACATATGTGGGTGCTAAGCATGGATGTTTATAGAATTCGAATTGTAAATCTTTAAGTGCTTCAGTTTTTGACGCTTCAAGATAGCCAGCCAGCCAAACAGCCAGCTAGATGATAAACAAACCAATGTTCCTTTAAAAGATCTCAAAGCTCTGTCTCAATGAGAATAATATTAGATTGCGTTTCTATTTGTATGTCTTTCCTTATTATTATTGTATGAATCTCATCGTTTCCATTCATTCACAACAATCACTCTATTAGAGGAGGCATACAGAAATACGCAATTTCATCTACATTAAATACATTCACCGACAAGATACTTTTAGATAAAAAGAAACTGATGTATGAGGAAACAAGAAGAGGGCTGATCGTCATCCTCATGAGCAATAAATTTCTATATATTTTTTTTGTCATGTCCATTGTCTTACGTATTTTATTTCATTTTGAGTGTAAGCAATCGTTATGATGACAAGATAATTAGGCAGATGTGTCTCGAGCAACTCAAAATATTTATACCGTTTATTTATAATAATGTTTATCAAGCCATGTGTGCTTATAAGTTTTTTTATAATGTCTACTCGTTTTACTACTAGTAAGTAATGTTTAATGACTAGTATTGTGATGGGGAAAATTAATGTCTCTGTATATGCTACATATATTAACAGTCATGAGTAAAGATATATTTATTAAAGGAGACAAAAAACGTTTAAGGGATCATGTAAATATAAGCTATAAATGAATATTTCGGGTGTCCATTAGTAATATTTTTGAATAAGAAAAACTCATTTTTCATGTGATAATAAATATATCTATAGCTTGGAGGTATGTCAAGTACATCGTAATAAAGATATTAATTAAGGGCTGATTAGACATCAAGTTTAGTAGCCTAGAAGCATTTACTTCATTTATACTAATATGTTGGGCTGATTTTAAGAATTACTCGGGGTACTCTATGGGTATGGATGCTAGGATCTAGCTAAAAAGACATTTTCTGTGTTAAAGACTTCAATAGTGCTACTCAAAGTGTTCTAGAGAAAGATAAGAGTGCTGTGTTCTAGTATAGCTTGATTATCACTCTGTAGAGGTGGAATATCCTAAACTAATCTGAAGTTTATAGTTGTTCTAGTGTACCCAAGACAACATTCTATGTAATAGATTGAGAGATCGACTTCTTGTGAGAATCGAACTCACGTCTTTGCAAGAGAGAGCAATTGATATCCGGACTGCTGTATAAACATCTAGCCACAGAAGCCTTTCTCTCGAAATGACTTATTCTCCTTCATATGGCTCGATATCTCAGCTAGACTAAAATTCTATCAAGATAGTCACCCAATAATAATCCTCCTGAATATAGATACAAAGTACATAAAATCTACATTTTACGATAATTAAGAATAATAAAGTAGGTGTTATAAATGTTCAATTTCAAGGGATGGGAAGCAAAAATATCAATTTATAAATCTATCTATCACATTTTAATGATGTGTGAACAATAAACTAACTTTAAGTACTTTAATATATATACTTGAGTAAAAGTATGATCAAAAAAATCCTTAAACGATGAGCACGATATTGATGGATGTGAATTGAGTTAATGAAAATTGAGTTTTTTTTTTCTACTTTTCCTCGAACGATGAGAAAAAAGAAAGTATTAAAATAAATGAAGCATTTAGGAGTAAAAAAAATATAAGATAAAGATTGAAAAGAAATATTCAAAGTTGAAGTGAAGAGAAGTAATCATGTGAGAAGGAATGAAGACAACTCAAAATGTAAATATTTATCACATGAGAGAAGTGATCATGTTCATTACAACTGCGCTCGTTCGATTTTTAAACGCGAGTTTCTCAACTTTCAATGTGAAATTTTCAGGGGGGAAATAGAGTGGTGGGAAAAAAATTTGGTGATAATTCTCAAGAAAGGTTGGGAGATTTTTAAAGAAAAATTAAATTGAGAAACTCTAACCTATGATTGGAATTTACCATCAAAACTTTTTCTCCTTATGTTGTTACCCCCTTGGAAACTCAATAATTTTTAACTAATTCCCCATCCAAATTGAAACTTGTGTAATTTTTGTTTGTTCAAACAATGTTGTTACCTCCTTTTCAATTCCCCATCAAGTTGTTACCCCCCTAGAAATTTATCTTTTCTCCTATTTTTCTTTCACTTTCTGTTATGTTTTTGCTTCATCAGAAATGAAAATTAGTACACATCTGTAAGTTCACGGGATTTTTTATTTTATCACAGGCAAAGATTGTTTCATCATTTTCCTCTCAATTCTTTCTTTTTCTTATTTTACTTTATTTTTTTTCTACTGCTACTCACATTCTTGTCTTACTCTGTTGTATGCTATATTTTGTATACGCGTATATTTTTATATATTGAATATTCTCTTCTGTTATTTTTGATATTGTGAAAAAATAATGATCATCATCGTCATCACACTTTCGATAGCACAGTTAATTATGATGATATTTGTTTTGTAGTAAATAAAACACTAGCAAATTAGTCAAGATTAAATATTTTCAATTCTTCTTCCACAGCGCATTTTCCCCTGTAAAAATGAGTAATGTGCTTGAATGATGTGCTGATTTGTCTAGGTGCTTTATCTTTTTTAAGAAAAAAATCTGATTTTTTTTTTCAAATTTTTTTTGTGAAGCATTTTCAAACTCCTGTTCTGACTTTTTCCCATAAAAATAAAGCGGTGATGCAGTGATGTGAATATTTTCATCATGAACTTTTTTGGATTCTTCCTTTGAGCACAATTCAGATCAAGTTTATGAATAAGGAAAACTTTGCTTTGAGCTATTCAGTTTTTTGATTTGAAAAAATGGTACATAACATTAGCAAGTTATGCAATACTGCCCACAATTTTTGAATGCAGATGAGGTTTTGGATACAAAAGAGATGACTGGGATGGAAGCTTGCTGCTCAGATCACTAGGATCTTTAAGATTTCTAAATCGTTTAACAGCTTTTAAGTGTGTAAAGTTTCGTCAACAAACATATTCAAACCTTATTTAACTATCAATAGCCCAAATTTATCAATGATTTATCAATGATTCTTTCAATGTCCCTAAGTGAGATTCGAACCAGATCTAATGTTTTAACAAGAACAAGTTGCAGTTCTTAGGTTTGAATCCCTAAAAGGCTGGATGGCATAAAAATCACTAAATTCCAAAAACCAGAGCAATTCTTCCCGAATCATTTTTATCTTTAATTATTCATGTTAAATTATGACGTATAGAGCTTATGTTGGTATATAAAAGACTTTTAAATCCCAAGGTTTCCCCTTTGCCATAAAATGTTTTTCAATATATCACAACCTCCCCCCCCCCCCCCCTGCCCTCTCTCTCATTATTAGAGTTCATCATGAGTGAATTCTTCTTAACTTTTTAAATTTAAGTATAGCTTGATCTTAAAAAAGTATCGTTCAATTATGAAGTCAAGCAAGGAAGGTGCTCTTGTATCTTTTGAATAGGACTTAAGTTTTGGCACCTAGGGAGTTACGCTGTTAAGTAAGAAGGCCTAAAACAATTTAATTCTACATTATATTTTTCAAGCATAAGAACGACCAAGAAGACATTGAAGAAATCAGACAAAATCATAACAAGGCATTCCAATTGTATTTTGACATGTTGATATTTAAAACTTGTAAATTTATAATTGTGTAAAGTAATTTATGATATTCTCTTTCAGATTCCAGATCCTAATTTAAATAAACAGTAAAACTTATATTTTTTTTCGGATATTATTCACCGAGACTTTTCATGGTTAACTCACACAGGTTGAAACTCAAGGGAAAATGCGCTTTGGTCAATAAATATTTTTTAAAAATCACTCAATTTCACTTGTTTATTTTCGAAACATATTTTCATCTCTTGACACATATTTTTGCTTGATATTGCCTATAAGATACTTTGTAGTATGTGAATATAACTGAAAAGAAAATCACCATCAAGTCGATGACGATATTTTCGATGCCAGCTGAATTTTTCCTTTCGCGTGTATTTTATTTGGTTATTTTACACCGTGAATTAAAATAATTTTCGTAATAATTTTTTTAATTTTTTAATTTTTTATATATTTTTCCTTATTTTCATCATCATCATCATTTTGCCTTCAATTTCTGCACAGACACTTTTTTTTCTCATCATCATCTCCTACACACACTCTCGTGAGCCAGAGCACAAAAGCAATAAGGGAAAGGAAAATTGAAAATGATAGATTTTAAGAGTGTAGGCACACATTAAGGGATATTTGGTGCACAAATATGAAGGTGAAATTTAATTAAAGAAATTATTTTTACTTTTTTTTAAATATTTTCTCACTCTTTTTTTCTTATTTAAAAAAGGTTTTTTTTTTAAATTTTATTTTTTGCACTTAAAATTACACACAGAGTGGCTGAGCACAAAAATTGTTCAACAACTATACAACACGAATGGAAGTCTAAATCTGACACGACAACTGAAAATATGCGAGAAATTTTATTCATTTCATTTTATTACTTAGCTTCGTGAAAACTCTATCGTGCGATTGCTGTCGATGTAGTTGTGAGTTTTCTCGTACTTTGTTCTGCGATAAAAAATTTCCCCTCACACAATTTTCCATTATCATCACTTCGGCTCACACATACAGCATGAAGTCATTGAAAAATACTTACACACATGTCAGGCACTTTGTTGATTGTGTATGCGAGAGATGAAAATAGAAAGAGAGCAACAAAGGAGAGGAGAAGAAAAAATTTAATTAAGACACAACACATTTTTGCAATATTTTTCTACTCCTGTAAATTAAATAATAATGACTCATTGAGAAATGATTCGAAAGTAAATTAATTGTGAGAGGCGAAAGAAAAATTAATGAAAGGCATGGAAAGATGATGACGGCAAATAATAGCGTTTACTGACATGTTCGCAAAACCTGTGTGGGGGTAAAGAATATTTTTCCGGTGATTAAATGGATTAAAAATTATTTTGGATGCGGACATCATTTGTTCCTGGGTCTACAGTTCTAATTGACTTATTTCGAGAAAGTCATGCCTTAGCTTGAAGCAGAACTTGAAGTTTCCACAATTTTTGAATAAGGTCGGGTTTATTCGAATCCAGTATTTCATACAGCTTACTTACATTCTTACTAAGATGGCAGGACAGACTTTTGTGATTCGTGGCTTTCATTAAATAACACCTGAAGAAGGCTGTATCGCTGGATACCACTTGCCAATTCTCCTATACATATAGAATCGACTTCAAACAATGGCTTGCTCATAAGTTTTTGATACTAAGTTCGATTTGGTGTCAATCATTTATGTCGCCTTTTATGTATTAAGTTCTGTTATTTATGAATTAAAATTTAACTGTAAGGAGTTCCTTTGTTCTACAAAAATCCTTCAATATTCTTAAAAGAACTTGATTAACATGACAAACGAATGAATTGAAAGACTTTTATGTCTGCCTATTAGTGGATACTTCAATCAACAACCCTTAAGCAAGAGCTTACACTTTGATACTTTAAGTGCATCCTTCTATTCTTCGTAAAGTTAATTTATATTCCAATACTGCTTACTGAAGGCATTATTTTCTACTCTATTTCATTCTCCTTGGATGTGCTAGGCTATGCTAATGAGATTACTCCTTAAAACTTAATTTGGTCTATAATCTTAATTTTTAAATGAGGGGCTGTTCACTTATGACGTCCAGGGAGGCCAGCATGAAAAGTACAATAAAAATTCCTGGAAATCTATTTTTTCAGGATCGCAGTGCCTTCAGCTCGTTGCAACGTGTAATAACACACCGCTTGACTGGAACCCTCTCACATTATTATTATTATTGTTCTTTTTTGAAAAATGACCGTTAATTTTGGACGTCATAAGTGAACGACTTCAGAAGTAAATTTAATCTGCAACATTTTATTAAGCAAAAATTTCAAAAAATGTAAACTGAATCACAAAATATAAATAGACTTAAAAACAAAATAACAAAATTCCCATGAATTTCCCAAAAATTTTCTCATCCAATCATCAACTTTTAATCCTGTAAGGCTTAATGTCTTTTAAATTAATTATGACGTGCATAAAATAATCTCTATCTTCATCCTATTCACAGGTGCCTTGGGATGCTCTTATCATCACTATTCTCACCTTCTACATCATCACAATGAAATTATTAATGATAGCACTTCTTCTACAATTTTTCGAGGGGAGCAGTGGGACTTCATCAACACTGACAAAGCTGTGAAGTTTATTCTACGAGGAAGAATTTTCAAATAAACATATTTCACTCAATCAATGTGACAATGAAAATCTGAGATAAGCAGTCTCACATCATGCGATGAAGAGAAATTTTTGCGAGTTATACCGCGTTTTGGGAATATGAGAAAACCCATTAATCTATTAACGAGAAACTTCTCTCTGAATTTTATTTCTCACGTCATAAACTCATTTTACCTTGCCTTACTTTCCTTACAGCCGTATGAGTGTGTGTTTGTCTTATTTCCATTTAGACTAGCTGAATGGTTTATAAATTGTTTCATAAACAGATCAAATCAATCATCGTTCCTGTACATTTCCGTCGTTTCTTATTACGTTTTTTTACAAATTTTGCGTATTTTTCTTTTCTCCTTGTTGCTATTTAACTAATAATATACTACACATAAAATAACATTGAGAGAAAAATCTTCTCGTCGTCATCCACGAGACCGTACAGCAAGAATCATCTGTTTTCTCCATCACACACGCAATCGTAGAATAAATTTTATTAAAAGCAAAAACAAAAGTAGTTTAGGAAACTGAAATTTTTTTTATAAGCAATAGCTTTGCATTGCTAGTTTATTATGTCAATTTTACGCCTTCTCTCGGTGAAATCTCGATTCATTTCCTCTGTAAATTTTAGTTCTTTTTTGCTTCCCGAGGAGCATATGAATTGGATTATGTTATAAATGAAAATACAGTTTAGAATGAGTTGATGGTGCATTGGTTAAATTATAATGATCTGGCAGCATTTAATTGCAGATATAAAGGTTCGAATCCTAAGTTCTAATTTATTGAGAACTTGCAAACGTGTGTCAATTTTTTTTTTGAACGACGTGTTCTATTTTAAACCCTACCTCATTCCTTCGTCCATTTTTTTGAACTCCTTGGTACTGGCATAAATAGTATAGCACTGGGCTGGTTTCTAAGTCTACCCGGGGCTTTCTTTGACAAAGTTGAACTCCTTGAAACTGGTCGATAGTGTATAAAAATAAAAAGAAGTAATCTAAGACAAGAGGAAGTTGCACTTGAAATCAATTTACCTAATCTCCATACTAATGCTTACACTCCTCGGTCTACCTTAACAAATTGCCAATACAATTTTTCAATGCTCTGTTCTCATTCACATAGAATCTAACATGCAACGCACAATATTTTAATATTCACATGTCGGAATTGCACAAAAATTTATAAAATGTGAAAATGCAAAAAAGGCCTTTTTAGAAAACACATGTATGTGCTACATTCTTTGTATGAAGATTGAATTTGATGAATGGCATTAGCAATTTTCACATCCGATTGCTATTAATTTCCTGCACATTTTTCAAAATCATAGCTGGAGTGTGAAGGAGTTCTATGTATAGAAAAAAATGAGATTTTAATCTGTTAAGTATGACATAAGCGCATTCAATCGATAATTATATTCAAGGTCTATTTAATGTGCTAATTTATTTCGTCGTAAGGTAGATAGGAAGAAATTTTTTGTGGTTGTGTAATTAAAGGTTAAGACATGTTCAAGGATTGTGTGAGGCAGTGTGAGGAATATTATGGTATTTAATTAATAAAACGAGTAGACTTTTAATCTTATTATAAATTGTGTGGTTCTTAATACAGACATAAAAGGATTTTTATTAAGTACATGATGAAAAAATGTTTATACAATTAAATGAAATATAGTCAGCATGAAAATTGAGATTAACTTATGGAAATTGTAAAAGGAAATCTTATTGTGAATGGAATTTACTGATTCTGACATTTAAGATCGATGTTTTCAAATGAATGTGAATTGAGAATATATGAAAATTCTCGTATGAAGACCAAATGTCTAATATAAACCCAGTTTCTTGCAATTTTCTGGTAATTTTATGTATTAGGGTTTTGGACCAGGATGCGGAGTAGATCAGGGTAGGATGTTGATCATTGTAAAGTAGAGTGTGAAACATGTTTTTAAATAAAGTTAAGAACATTTGTTGATCTTGCGAGACTTATCGACCTAAACAAATGTCTCAGCTAGACTCAAACACTCAAACAAAGTCATATGCACTCATATTGTAGGATTTGATCAAATCTTCCACTAGATTGCTGTCTTAATTCTTTAAAACAGAGCTCGAAGTTGACTCGAGTCGACTCGAACCCTATCGACTTCGAGCTCTGCTTTAAAATAATGATGAAAACTGCTTTAGGTTCAAATCACTATGCTGAATCAAATTCAAGGGGACAAAAACATGGCAAAGACAAATTTTGATCAATTTTAAGTGAATTTAACCTTATACAGAGCTCAAAGTCGATGAAATTTTGTATGGAGTCGACTCTGCTTTACAAAATCGATGAAAATCTTGAGCAGACTTCGAGCTCTGGCCTTAAGTAAGAGCTATCCTCAAGTCTATCGCCTAATAACCTCCGAATGACCTACAAAATATCCCATTCTTTGTATATTCATCCGTAATATTTTTACAAAAAGATTGCTCAATTTCCACATCCAGTTAAAAGCTTTTTTATACGCTTGAATTTTAAAAATGGTAATTAGTGGTTAGCAGACTACCATTTAAACACTTTGAATGAATGAAATTAAAAAGCAGGGTAATGCTTTAATGATAAGTAAAGATTCATGTAGAACATAACCATAGCAAAATTTAATGGAATTATTATTACATGCACCTACTCTATTCCTGTATACCTTCCATCCCATACCAAAGTTTATCTATTGTATATAAAAGCATATATTATCTACATCAAAACCGAAACAACTGAATAAACATATGTATGTACATTGTGTGCATGTCAGTGTCATACAATCATCTATTTCTGGAATAAAATTAAAATCGATAAAAAGTAGGACATGCTTTTTGCACAAATACATAAAGCATGAATAAATGCACTATGCACTATGGGGCAAAATGAAAAAAAAGGGACTTTCACTTTGAAAAATGGACTTTTCCGATTTACACTTTTTGGGTGATTTTTTCTTGTAGAGGACATAAAAGTAGATAGAAATGCCAAATTTCAGGTCATTTGGTGCTGATTTCGCGATTCTAGAGCTGTTTGAAGTTGAAAACTAGTGAAAATTCTGGTTTTTTCATACCATGTTTGAACCGGGAAATATCTTAACTGGTTTAAGATATTGCAAAACGGTTTTCAGTTCCTATTAGTAGTATATAAGAGCTTTATTTTGACATATAACAAAGTTTAGGTTCTGAATGTTTTCGTGCCATTATGGTAGAACATATGTGAAAATTTCAGGAAAATTATCTTCAAACAAGCCGCAACTATCATAAATGAAGAGTTTCCAGGCAAGTAAAAACGCAGTTTTGTAGCCCCATATATCTAGTTTTCAAAACTGTATAAACTTTGAAAAAGTAAGCTAACGTAATTGAGTTATGTTGATTTTAGTAGGTCGTTGAGTATTTGGCCAAAAACTAATAATTCTTTTAAAAATACGAAAACATAGTTTTAAAAATAGTTTTTTGGTGTTTTCTTATGAAAAATAACAATTTAAATGATTTTGTGAAGAAAATTTTTCAAAAACTTCAAAATCTTTCGAGATATAGGGGGTATGTGCTCTCCATCGATTTGGCCATTTGTCACCCTACTTAAACCACTATAACTTTTTTTTGAAAAAATATTTTTTAATTCTGTTTTCGGATTATTGTAGCCTAATGTAATACCTATCCAACGATATATAATACTTGCTAGTTAACTTAGTCCTGGTTATTTATAGGGCTGTTGATTGTGACATACGCAGTTTTTGAAATATTCCCAAAAATTGCATTTTCAAAAATACCACTTTTAAGCAATCTCGAGTATTTTTTGGACTTTTTTAAGAAATGTTAAGTCTGAAAAAAGCTATTATCATTAGAGTAATAAAAAAAATACTCTGATACGCAACTATAATAGGTAAAATTAATAAAGTTTAATTTTTAGTTTAATGAAATTTTGTTTATTTGTCAAGAAATTTAATTTACATTTTTTTATCATATTTAATGAAATTTATTTATTCATTCGTTGTTTGCTTCTTCAGAATATTCATGGTCTTGTCCTTCGGAATAATCATAGTTTTCTGCTTGGGAAAAGTCATAACCTTCTCCTTCTGGCTCAATCAATTCAATTTCTTCCTCATCTTCTTCCTCATTTTCTGTTTGTTGCTCAGGTGTTTCACCTTCTTCTTGGACATTTTTTCTCATTAACCTTTTATTTATTACATCCATATATTTTTTTATTATTACTGGATCAGAACTGTAGAGTCTTCTATGTATAACATCCGTAAAACTGTGTATTCTTGAAGTTTTTCTGGCACGTAGTTCTCTATCTTGTCTGAGATATTTGTTTTGTGACTCCCCGGCTTCTTCACTCATTCTTCCTAGAGGTAATGGTAAGGCTTCCATGTAGTGTTTTGCATGAGCAAGTGCTCTGTGAAGTGTTACTGGTATTTTGAACCAACTATATGTTGTCAAAAACATTCTGTATGTTTCTTTACAGTACCTATCAAATTCATCTAGATCATCAACTGGTTCTAAACTTCGAATTTGGTTTAGCACATAGCATATACGTTTAATTATTTCTTCATTAAGATATAGAGTTTTAGCTAGAAGCTCTGGATTTTCAAGAACTTTTCTTGCAACGTTTCCTGTATCTGATGATCCAGCTCCCCCTTGTCTTGGTTCGAGTACACGAACATTAAATGCATCCCACATTGCTTGCTTTATTCTAGCCTTTTCAACATCTAAAACAATCTGTTCCTCTTCAGTTATCTCCAGCCAGTGTTTTTGAACATATTGTTTATATGACAAATCATATAGAGTCGTGAGTACGTTCATTGATGTATGAAGTGGCTGAGTGTTGAAATACAAGTGTTCTTAATCTCTGTGGTTCAAGTTTTGATATTTGATTTTTTATATCTTCATATATCCTTCTAACATTTACTCTGGTTTCTTTGGCATGTTCAAGTTGTATTGGTCGTACTGAGTATACAGATTGACTGTTTTCGTTGTCCCATAAGCAGATATAATTTCCGTTTTCGTCTTCATGTCGTAGTTGCTGAACACTCATACTAACTGTCAATAGTGATTTGTCTTCTATAATTTCATTATTAGTCGTTTGATTCGGTTGTGTTCTATCTCGTTCTTGATTTCTTGAATTTGTTTTTCCTTGGTTATACTGTGACTGTCCTGTTGTTCCGTCCATCCCCCATGTGACGATCATTTCTGCATGAATAACTTTTGGAGTTGATTCTGAAGGTAATATTTTGATTTTGTCGTATATTTCTGAATTGTGTGCTTCAATAACTCTTTTTGTGGTGAGTTGTGTCAAATTTTTTAGTGGAATAACGGCTCTTGTATCGGTGACCGTTATGTCATCAGGATAGCATTGTTTCTCTAACCTCAACAATTTTTTAGCTGTCGGTAAAACGTTTTCGCATTCCAGTTTCAGGACTTGTCGAATATTGTTGTACTGATTTCGAGATAAATTGTTAAAGGCTTTTACACCTAGAGCTACATGTATATCTAGTTGTTTAGGTTTTGATGTAGTTTTTTCTGGAAGATCCTCTCCTTTTTGGCACGCCTTAATAAATTCTTTTAACATTTTAGCTCCTTCTACTTTTCCTTCTTCTTTAGAAAGGCGAAGTGCCAAGTGAAGAACTGATAACAATGATCCTTTTGCTTCTTTTAAACTGATATCTAATTCGTCCACTCTTCTACGTCGATGCTTATCGCTTGTTAGTTGTTCAAATGATTTCCTCTTGATGCCCTTGCTGGATGAAGGCTCTATGTCATGGACGATGTATTCAATCTCATCCATATCTTCATCTGTGTCAGTAACATTTTCTGCTTCATATATAGATTCTTCCTCAAAAAGAATCCCTCCACTAGATTCGCTGAAGTATCGTGAGTCAACTTCAAATTCCTCTTCATAGAAATCTGCATGATCTCTTAATGCATTATTCCAATTTGACTGATTACAAAACATTTTTGACTTTGACTTCAGCTTGTTTAATTTATTAATTAAACTTGGTTTCTGTGATTCCGCTAATTCTCTCCCATGAATTTCTTCTATTACTGCCAAACAGTACGTGTGCTGTGTTGCAAGATTTAACGTTTTGTCGCGAAGAATTTCACAGAGTGTTTTCTTCGTAAGTGTTGAATTTTGGTTCATTTTTGAAAGTGACTTGTTCAATGAAGTTCAAAACTGATATGATGTGTAGAGAGAATTTCACGAGTATATATATAAAATAGTTTCAAAACTGAGATTTTCACACCTGATAGTGACTACCAAGGGTACTTTACAAAGTTGTTAACTAGGGAAGTAAAAAGTTTCTAAATTTAATTTTTTGGCTTTATAATCTCATAAATGTCATAAATAAACATAAAAAAGTTCTAAAAAAATACTCGAGATTGCTTAAAAGTGGTATTTTTGAAAATGCAATTTTTGGGAATATTTCAAAAACTGCGTATGTCACAATCAACAGCCCTATAAATAACCAGGACTAAGTTAACTAGCAAGTATTATATATCGTTGGATAGGTATTACATTAGGCTACAATAATCCGAAAACAGAATTAAAAAATATTTTTTCAAAAAAAAGTTATAGTGGTTTAAGTAGGGTGACAAATGGCCAAATCGATGGAGAGCACATACCCCCTATATCTCGAAAGATTTTGAAGTTTTTGAAAAATTTTCTTCACAAAATCATTTAAATTGTTATTTTTCATAAGAAAACACCAAAAAACTATTTTTAAAACTATGTTTTCGTATTTTTAAAAGAATTATTAGTTTTTGGCCAAATACTCAACGACCTACTAAAATCAACATAACTCAATTACGTTAGCTTACTTTTTCAAAGTTTATACAGTTTTGAAAACTAGATATATGGGGCTACAAAACTGCGTTTTTACTTGCCTGGAAACTCTTCATTTATGATAGTTGCGGCTTGTTTGAAGATAATTTTCCTGAAATTTTCACATATGTTCTACCATAATGGCACGAAAACATTCAGAACCTAAACTTTGTTATATGTCAAAATAAAGCTCTTATATACTACTAATAGGAACTGAAAACCGTTTTGCAATATCTTAAACCAGTTAAGATATTTCCCGGTTCAAACATGGTATGAAAAAACCAGAATTTTCACTAGTTTTCAACTTCAAACAGCTCTAGAATCGCGAAATCAGCACCAAATGACCTGAAATTTGGCATTTCTATCTACTTTTATGTCCTCTACAAGAAAAAATCACCCAAAAAGTGTAAATCGGAAAAGTCCATTTTTCAAAGTGAAAGTCCCTTTTTTTTTCATTTTGCCCCATAGTGCTATGTGGGAAAGGTAAGAAATTCTCTCTTTGTTTTCTTTTCCTTTGTTGCACATAGAATATTTAATTGAAAGCAATTAAAGCATCTGACATTGTTGGGTATGACGATTGTTGGGGAAGCCTTACAAAATGTGAGAATTATGTAAAGAAATGCAAAGAATAAAGCTAGAAAAAAGTAAAAAAAGAATCAAGATCATTTCCATAGACTTGAGTAATTTTACCCTCGGCTATGCATGTTGGAGTTACATGACGTCTGACTACATTAGCTAGAGACATAAAAATGTAATAATAATATGCTAACAATTTGATAGTGGAAACTATAATGCCACAACACCAATTTTCCAGAGAACGGTTAATTATTAATGATAACTGCTTACTCCTTTGGTGGTCATAAAATAGTCAGCAGTAAGTCTTAATTGTTCAAATTACTTTGGCAAAATCACTGTTGAAATGCTAGATTTTTTTTTTTTTTTGCTTTTGGTATCTGAAGGCTAAAATTGTAAGTAATAAAGTCAGCATTATAAAAATAGAAATTAAATTATAATAAAGCTGAAGTGCTATCGCGTGCATTTATACCGTTATATTGCTTACAATCTGGTGCTTCCTGAAATTTGTATCACATTGTATCGTATTGAGTATCAGTTATTTGAAAAATAATATATTTTTATGGGTCTTTATAGTGAGAATAAGTTCATGACAAAGAGTTATGACTCTTTTTCTTCTGGTTCCTGTTTTTTCCTTCATTTCCAGATTATTTATTGTAGTTATTCATGGATTAATAAGCTAGACTTTGTTCTTTTGTTATTGAATTACTGAATTTATTAAAATATGGAATCTTGGAGATTATCCTAACGGCACAAGTCGGCCAATCGATCAAAAATCCAGCACCAAGCCTGTATGACTCTGAGATGGTTCTGAATTTAAATCTGGTAAGTTAAGAATAAAAGTGTCATTCGTATTATATTTTTAAATGATCAAGTCACTTACTCTGTTCGGAACCCCTATTCGATGGCATATAATCTATCAAAAAATCATCAAACTAATTCTGTTTAAAAATAATAATTTTCAAAAAATGCGCTTTCAAAATTCAGCCATGAGACTTCTCAACTTGTTCTTTATTACTTGCAAATTATTTTTGTTATATTTTTCTCAGAAAAATATCGAAAGAATGTATGAGATAAAACAAGATAAAATTATTATTAATATGTCGCTGACATTAACTAATTGTCAGTCATTTTAATGAAATTAATAATCTTATTTTTTTTTTTGCAAATGTTTCAAGACTTGTAACACATAATAATTAAAAATTGGCACGATCTAAATAAATAAAAAAAAATATCATTTTAAAAAAATAAAATGTAAACATTTTGTTGTTTTAAAAGCTGAGCTCATAGCTGATGACATGGGAGGAATTGTGGCTCGACTAAAATGAATGAAAAAGAGAAGAAAAAAAAATCACATTCGAATGAATTCAGCAAATTTGTCACGAAATTATTCATATTTACGTTCAAAACAGCACTCAACACCTTTATGCTGATTATTTGGACACAGTCCATTTGCCGAGACTAAACTTCTGCATTTGTCTTTCTCCACGCACATCCCTCCGACATTGGAACAACGATGTTCTCTTGGATAGATTACAACACCATCAATCACTGCGTAAATGAAATGCGAGACAAAAAAAATTGAGATTGATAAAAGTGTTCATTTATCATTTCATCATAATCATTGGAATCAGTGTTGTTAAACTAGGTCCGATGGTGCGGAACTGATGCATTACAATTTGACCATTTTCGATCATTTAATCAGTTTCGCACCCTTAACTAGATCTAGAATCAATCAATCCTCCAAAAACAGTTGATATAAAATCTAATTCGACAAGGGCGTATCCAGTAAGCAGAGCAAATTAAAGAATTTTTATGTCTACGTTCCTGAAATCGAACATTGAAGCTACTCGACGGTCCTGGAAAACTTGACCGAATATTCTTTTTCTTAGAAACCTAACATGTGATTTGTGTTTCTAAACCAGTGCTTCTCAAACTATGATCCGTGTCACATTCCTGGATTTAGGATGCACTGTCCTTAACATTTTCCTAACTGAATCATTAAGCATCTAATCTAGAATTTTAATTGAAGTGACCTATCCTGTGATCACAGCTTCAGCTAGGATTCAAGAAGCCCAAAGCTAAGCTACAACAGCTGTAGTATTCCCCAATTGATCATTGCCACACACAATTAGATTTCGTTCATATCTCATCCCAATAAACAAGCACCATAAACACAACACCGATTTAAAGCAATAAAAAAAGGAAGCTTAGCGTGAAAACAGCAATTCAAAGAGACAAGAGCTTATTCCTGTGTCATCCATGAACTTTATGCTATTCATTGATTATCACACAATAGACAACAAAAAAGAAATCATGCTTACATCCATTCTGCTCTTGTGCCCCTTCTGGACAAACGACTATATCATATTTTTCATTTGAATCAATTGGATTTCCATTAACCAAGAGAATAAATGCGAAAAAGGTCGCTACAAAAATCAAATTTAATGACATCGCCGACATGATTTACACCACTTTTATGTGTTTTTATTTTGATTCTCTTTTCACTATGTATTCCTCTTCCTTTAAGCTATTGTTATGGCTATTTCCTTTTTTATCGGTTTTTTATTTCTATAAAGACTTTTCACTTTTTCTTGATTTATTTCTTTCGTCTTTTCACAGCAAAAATCAAAAAAATAAATTAACTGATTGAATTATTCTGAGCAACTAAAGTTGTTTGCACAGCTTCTGTCCGATTTATATAGGACACTTGAAGATGAAAAAAAATATTTTTTAAAAATCTCTGCATAAATGAGAAAAAAAGGCGTTTACTTTTTCCTCTAAAATAAATATTCCAAATGATTCTAGAATGAATCATGTCTTCTTATTATTGATATTATTTTTATGATATTATGTCTCACTTAAATGAGATGAAATAAATTTGGCAAATTTCTAATCGAATTCCTTGGAAAAATTGTCTATTTTTAAGAAAATAAAAAAAAAACATTTGATATTTTAATTTTTTTGTGAAGCATCTCCTTCATGTGCTTTATATACACAAAATAAATATTTTGTATCACATTTTCATATTCTCACCGAGCAGTACATAAATTTGTTTAATGAGTTAATTTGTCAATTTTTTTAAGTGTAAAAATGTGATAATGAATTTATTATTTCTAATTTTTTTTACAGAAAGCAAACTAGAAAATGTGTAGGTTTCCTAAATGAGATGTAAATTCCATTTGTTGAGACTTAAACTTTAATAGACATCAAAACATCTAATTAGCTATTAAATCTTAATCATTCTTGAACAAACGCGACTTTTTTGAAAACTAGCTTTTAATTGGCAATTTAACAATTCATTGTTGTTGATCAAGCATTCATTTAAGATATTGCCTTTTGATTCGACACTTAAGCAAGTCAATGCATAGCCGCAAACCAATAACAAAAAAGAAAGGAATTCTCTGTCTCGTTCTGATCTCTAGAACTTTCCAAATAATCCTTAGTTTTATTATTTACATATAAAGTGCGATCCCTTGACAGATGTCGATGTTTTAACAATCTAATGACTCAAAGTTCAGCCTCTAATGAGAATCAAACTAGCATCTTTAGAAAAGAGAATCTAACAGATGCAGATTTCCGGTATGACATTTGACGATGTATTATGACACGAGACCACAACATCATAGATTCGGTTACAAGTTCTTGGAAGGATTTTTAGAATCAACTTCCTTGTTCTGACAAACGTCAATGTATAATAAGTCGTTAAACAATTTGGTAGCAGTTGGATATCTCGTAGGCATGTTTCAGTATTTACAATACAAAACCTAGCAAAAGCATCAACTAAACTCTTAAAACCTCACAACTTAGTGGAATTTTTAATCTTTTAAGCACAGCATAAGCGCATTGCCAGTACTTTAATCCCAAAAAACACAACAACACCTTCCCAGTGTTGCAAATGTAGATGTCTACACTAGATGAAGAATGTAGATTCTTCAATAGTTTTTGTCTAGCTAAGAAACTTTCTTCATAAAGATCGATTCTATATGAAGATAGAAAATCTAATCTACACAAAGATTATTTCTACATAAAGATTCTGTCTACATAAAGATTCTTGTAGATGTCTACAATTCTACATTTTTTCTAGGTCTACATCAGAGAAGAATGTAGAATTGTAGACATCTACATCGAATCTTTATGTAGACAGAATCTTTATGTAGAAATAATCTTTGTGTAGATTAGATTTTCTATCTTCATAAAGAATCGATCTTTATGAAGAAATTTCTGTCTCAGAATTTATCTGATCCAGAAAAATCGCCAGAATGCAACACTGCACCTTCCAGATCACATTAACATCCCACATTTAACCATTCACAACTCGGGTTCGTCTCTATGAAGGCCACTACTTACATACGATTTATTTCGAGACGTAAATGTATCAATTTATTTTTGGAAAGAATATTATTTTTGCATTTTCTGAATTATATCATACGTCTGTACATATTTGGGCCAAAAAATATTTTTTTTTCTCAAGTGTTTATGATTTGTTTATACTTAATGTCAAGAAGGTCAAGTTTAAACGTCTGTATCCGATTTCATGTCTTCATTCATAATTTAAAATAACGAAAAATATTTTTTGCTTTTTTTCTCTCACAGATTCACTAATTATAGAGACATAGTCATACGAGTGAATAATTACTTACTATCATATTCGGAATCTTCACCAAATGGATTATAAATACACGACATGTGACTGTTGGACACGAAACAAAACAAGAGTACGATGAAAATGTAGATTAATTTCATTCTTGATGTACTTTAACGCGCCTTATAAAATTAAATTGTTATTTAATTGATGTTCACTGATCAAGTTATTTGCAATAACTAATTTAGCTAAGCAGATTTTACTAGATTTCTAGTCTCTAAAGATGCAAATTTATCTTTTTATATTTATTCTGTCATTATGAAAATTGCATCATAAATTACATTTTTAGTATAACATTCAATATGTGCATTAACTCAGTCAAGTGTAAAAAATATAAAATATAAAAGATTGAGCATGTATTACAACCTAGGCATTCATCATTTGTCATCTACAAACAAAAAAAAACTCGTGTCAATAAACATATCGAAAATGAAAAATTATTTGTTTTAGAGCCGTCTGATTTAATGTGCAAAATTATCACGTGCATCGATCCTAGCGAAAAGAAAATCATTACGTTTAAAAATAACTGAAATTTTTGCGTTTGAAATTAAAATAACGGTTGTTTAAAATTTGAATTCATATAATAATAGTCGACAATCCCCTTGATAGTAAACAGAGATTCGTTGGAGAATCAAAACAATCTTTGATTTTATCAAAATAAATCAACCTTTAACAGTTGACAAAACCTGAAAGTGACTTTAATCAATTAAATAAGAACAATAGAAAACATCAAGCATCCAGAATGGTGAGTTCAAATTAAAGTTTTATTTATATATTCAGAATTTTATTTCACAAGTTTTATTTTCTTTATAACATTTTTGTTTTTTTTTGTTTCAATTTAAATCCCTTAAGTTGAATTATCACTCTGCTCACTTCTCTTGCCTCCCCAAGGATAGAATGGAGTTCTAATGACAATTTTTGGGGCTCCTCTGTTGCGTTTGCCACCTTAAATAAAGAATAGTTTTTGATTAATAACAAGCATATATAGGAATTGAATTAGGGATGGTATTAAGTGGTATTTAAAAAAGAAAAGTCTATGTCAACTAGTAAAAGTATGGAAAAGCCCCTAGTAGCCCAGTAGTCAAGGATTCTGCCAAATGTCACATCTAAGATTCAAAGTTTGAAAAATTCAATTCTCACCCCACGAATGGAATCTGATTTTCTGCAATTGACTCTTGTCTCGCTTTTGGGTCTGCTTAAAAAGAACATTACGGGTTTCGCTGTTGTAACAGTCGTCAAGGTGATTTTCCAAAGTTGCAAATATTTGTGTCTTCATTATTGGGTCATTAATTTCCCGGAAAAATTGTTTATATAGATTAACACCGAGATCATTGTTATTTAATGCATGACCTGTGGGCGAAAAGAAAAATGTGTGTTGTTATTTTTAAAAGCAGCTTCCAAAATAAGATTTGTCTAGATTTAGATCACTTACTTTCAATAGTTTTATCATCAACTTCATTTGGTGAACTTAAGGCTTCAATAAATCCACAAACATCATTCGATCCTTTAATTCCGCTCACAATAACGCGTCTATAGTTCTCTAAGAGCATCCCCATGTCACCCACTTCCTTCATAAGTGCTTCTATAGTTTCTTGTTGTTTCTGTAGTCGCTCTTCATCATTTGTTGGCGATCCAGACTGCTCAACCATTTCCTTCGATTCTAACTCTTGAGCATTACACAAAGCAATAATTGATATTGACAAACATAAAAGTATCATATTTCCTAATCGTTTGAACATTTTTGACTCTCCGTTTTGTGTTATCTGTGAATAGAAAATTCTAATATTAATTACAAGCTATAAATAATTAATTAACGAGTTAGTTCTAATTATAATATCAATGCTGGAAATTTAGCATTCAATAATTTTTGGTTTATCACTTTCTAATTGAAAGTGTGGGCTTTACGTTAAGCAATTTACGTTTGATAAAAAATCGCTCCAATCAATCACGATGAGCCGCACACAAATTAATGGGCGAGAGAGAAAAAAAAATCACATGTCGGTGAAATGTACATTAAACCAGCTGTAGATGTGATGATGCGTTAATTATTCATTTGAAAAAATTCCATCCTTTCTGTACCTCATATATTATCACGACGTTACTAAGGCAACGACCTATGTAATGAAGACTTTAATGACTAGAATTATTATTTTATCTGATTTTGTGGTCAGTAAAAAAAAGTTTTTATTTTCGGGTGAATCCACAAAAGGGGATATGTCACATTTGTTTTATTAAACAAAAAAATAGTGACAACTCCCTGAAGTACCATTGACTTGTTGACGTTATTAGAATTAAGGTGTTTTGTATGCTAGCCTACATGTCAAAATTTTATGTTCGTAGGAGGTCATTATGGGAGGTGTTGATTTAGACAGGTCTGGATTTTAATTCACTGGCTATCTTTCTTTTGGCTTTATTTTTATAAAGATCATGATCAAGTTGAGAGTTAATCACAAATAATAGACATTAAGGTTACAAAATTGTAAATTTTAACAATCATGAATCACATTAAAAGTTATTCTTAACTATAAATATGCTCTGTTGTTTAGAGATCCTCTAGCATTTTTACTAAATAGATATGACCGATATCGTCCCTAGCTAGGATATAACAGTTCATAATCAATTTAAAACATCGCGATCAAAAAAATTGAAGCTTAAATTGATAAAACTTTAATTTTTTCACTTCTCAAATTTATAAATGCTTCAAAAACCTGTTGCGGATTAAAATAGCGTGCAGCATATAAATAATTCAATTCCCGAATTTCGTGGCAAGCTAAAATTGTAAATTTCTGAAATTTTACCGCATCTATAATTACAAATCTATGAAAACCCGAGTAACCAAATCTTTATTTTGTCGCCTGGACCCTCTCGTATTTATGAGCTTTTGCCATAAAATTTGCAATGTTGAACTTCTCGGGAATTTCTCCTTAATTAAGGATTAAGTAAACAATAGCTTTAAAATTACCTCCTTAAAATTGTATCATTACTTGCTAAATAAACAAGCCTAAACCAAAACCACCCACAAAATTGAATCAATCGTGGTCAGCGGCTAACATGATGTTATTGAATCAATTGATAAAGCAATAATTTCAACACTTTGTTGTATGAATAATATTGGTGCTGGTTTAAGCTTGATTGTTTCTATTATCGATTCAGAATTTCTTCTTCCTTCTTCTCAGAACTGCAGTAATGAGCTGATCCAAAACATTTATAATGTCATTATCTGTGAATATGTGTATGACACACTCTATAACACAGGTGGTTGTAATTGCCATAAATTATTTTCATCGCTAATTTTAGTATCTTTTTTTTTATGCCAACTCATTCAGTCGTCGGGTCATTAATTAACTTTGATATTTCAATGCATCAGGATTCTCTCCTTTTCATACAGCAAACAAAAACATAAACATTATTGAGACAATGTAGTGAGGCACATTAATTCCCATATGTCGTAAATTAAGTAGAAAACATAGCGCCAGTCATGGACGTTTAGATGTTTAAATGATGATAATTTAACGGATATGATCCGCAAAAAGAATCATTTTATGAATAATCTGCTTAAGCTCAGTTGAATGTGCTCTCAATAAAAGCATGAATAAAATTTATAGATCAATCAAAATTTCCTAATCTAATTCAATGTTTATCACTTAATTTGTTGGTACAACTTTGTTTTTATCATGTTTTATTTATAAACATTGATTATCACTATTACTAGGTTGTGCTTATTTTCTTCTTCTTGAGGATCAACATTCAGACAAACGATTTCTATTGAATTTCATAATGAATTGGTCAAGATTGATTAATATTTAGGTTTCATGAGAATTTCTATCTAAAGCAGCGTTGGATTCAAACGTCTTTGGATTAGCGTTTGATCCTGTGTCTTTCAGTTGTGCAGAATTAAAAGATTAAATGTTTATTCTATGCTGATTATAAATTGAAATCTTCAAGTTAAGCTCCAGACCGATTTACTTCGAATGATCAAGTAAAGAGTTGAAACTTTCGAAGCTTTGTCCTTATTCTTTCTTTATAAATTGTAAGGAATTGATCCTTGTAATCTTTGCTAAATGAATGATTAAACGTTTAATCTTCTAAGTTGATCAACTCCCTTTCAAAAGTTCACAAATTAAAGTTTAAAAGAAAACAATTAAAAATGACTGGAATCTCCTCCTTTACATCAGGAAAACCGTAATTAAATGGTGTAAAGTTAAATTCCATGACGAATTAAAACAATTAAAACATCTTAAAGAAAGAACTCCTGAAGGATCAAACAAATTAAAGACTTGAATAGCAGCAATTAAAGTTTTAATTGTAATAAATTCAAGATAAGTTGTTATTCAGAGCTTCTAATTAAAGCGCGCCTATTTAAAAGTCAAAGAATTTTTTTTTTTGTCATTATTTTCAAATTAGCAAATTGCTTTTCTTAATGAATCAATTGTCAGATCTAAAAAATAAATTTAAATTTTCTCTGGTTTGCTTGTTCTTTCATAGGTTTGAGAACCAAATTTAAATTTATTGTCCCATTTCATGAATGTGTCCACGTACCGTTAAGAACTGCATATCTAACCTTAGTTTCATTAATTGTAATTGATATTTCTCTGTGCGCATTATTCACTTATTCATTAATTTTACTTATTCATCAAGTTGACATTAGTCTTGCAAATTAACGTAGGAATTATGTGGAAAAAAGGTCAAGATTTGTTAATGCATAATAAATTGAAGAATAGTTTGCGATGAGCATTATAATTACATTTCTATTTTTGCGGATAATTTCCAAGCACAAGACTTTCTTTACCATTGTCATCCGAATTATGTTAATTCTTTATTATTTATTCAAGGAGTTTCCGCGTTTAACAAAAGATTTTCATTTCAGTGGGCAAAAATTCACTTTTTTAAGTTCCTTTTTATCATTTTTAAAATGGATATCCTCTTTCTTGTTATTTAATTATATTCATCCTACTCGCATGTCCATTATTTGGATATTTTACTCAAGATCCGTGACGATTTCATATGGCCCTTATTCTTGGAATTTCTTATGAATTTCTTGAATTATTAAGAATTTGAAATCATTTTGCATTTTCCTCAGAGTTGTTAAAATGGAATTTTATCTTTTTTGAGCTTGAAAACTTATGAAATATGTGAAATAAATTCTTCGAAGATTCATGTTTGAGTTTTCATGTTTAAAAGTAGCTTCGAAATTCAATTTTGCGAAAGCTTTGCAAAGTTCTTAAAATCTTAATTATGAATTACGAATCAAAAGATATTGTCCAAGATTACAATTTTTCCGAAAATTGATGAAATAATTTATAAAATATTGAAATTTTGAAAAAGGTTCTTGAAAGTTTGAAATTTGAATAATTTTTAAGTAAACAGAAGATTTATCTTTTATGTCTAAATCAATCTTCTTATAAGATGGTTTTAGTCAAAGCCTTACTTAACTTTTGTTATGAAAATATTGAAAACAATTTAAATAAATTGACGCTTTGTTATCGACTAAATCAAACTCTAAAGAATTGAGAGACAGATCCTTAAACACAATTGAAAGGAGGATTTCGAGAACATTGTCATTATTTTTTAAAATAAAAAATTCTTTGGGAAATATGTTTCGCAAATTATAAAAGCCTCTCTTAACTTAATCAATTGGAATTAATTGTCTCAAAAAATAGACTTGAGCCGAAAATTCGAATTCAGCTTATTAACTCTAAAAATATGAATATCCAACAACAATTAAACTATGTTCTTCTTGTCACTAACCGTAAAGTTTTATAAAAAATTATTTTAAATATTTCAACAACTTTACTGAATGGTTTTTCTCGGAAGTAATCATAAATCCTTTTTATCAATAAACTTAGCAAACACCCCAACATTAACCAAAAACTTTTACTCCTTCAGCGTCTAGCTGTTTGTTAAGGAATCCCACAGCACAAAATCATTGGAAATTTCCTTTGAATCACACTTGAAACTTGCAAATTGAAAGGATTACAACATTCACAATAGAAATTTTTTGTTGAACTCATATTTTCTTAAAGCCAAAGGACATCCAGTGTCAATAAATTTGAATTATTAGTTGTTTAAACATTTGATGATATAAAAATACCTTTTCACTTTTTCAATCGCACGCTCGAGTAAGTTTTTGTTTAACAACTTAATCTCCTATTGCCAATAAACATCAAAAAACATTTATTTTGGACCAAAAAGGACTTGAAAAACAAAAATTTACTTAATAAATCAAATCCAAAAGAATTAAAAGCACAAATTATAGCGAAAAAAAATATTTTTCACGATTTTTCGCTGCTTTTCAGCTGTTGAAAGTTAATGTTCTTTCTTTTCGTTTCTCTCGGTTGTGTACAGTCCGAATTTATCTGATATACTGATGAGCGCAACGATAATCTTCATTGCTTTTATACTCTCTCACTATTTTTCCATATCCTCCAAAGCAGATTAGAAGCAAGTGGTGTTTTCGCATGACAGTTAACACTTCTGTGCGTACGGTGATGTCATTTTGTAGGAAAATGTTGCTTCTATCCTATGCGTACGATGAAAGAACTATGTTTTGCTGAGAAAACAGCTACAATTGAATAGAACGTTGATATCTTTTAGAGAATTTAGATTATTTTGTTTGACTTTACTTGAAGAGCTGCTTATGGCGCATTCTGGATAGGGCTTCACTCTTGAAAATTCAAGATTGATAATAGGACTGTAGAAAAGTGACAAAACACATCATTACAAATTATTCTAGGCATCTGACGAAAAGCTCAAGTAAAAATTACTCTCAAAAGGGTTGCATTATTTATTATCCCTCCACGTATGAGCAGAAGTATTATGCAAAAAGGTACTTTTCAATCAAAACAAGGATTAAATGGTTGCAGCTCATTTGGGGTTAATTACTTATGATGTCTATTTAATTAACATTATTACAATTCGGGGATCATTCATAAAGTTTGTATTACTTTTTGCAGTCTTTTCTTAAAAAATGTAGTATTTTATAGAATTGACAGATGAGAAGGCAGGGGTTCGGGGGTACTAAAGATCCCATAAAAACCTCCAACAACAAACCACCCCAAAGTGCTCAATTCACAATATTTTTCCACTCAAATATTAAGCACTAAGCAATAAGTTTACCGAAACTTTTACGCTACATCTTGATCAACCACCTTCATCTCATTAATTTTTATACACACCCTACCTGCTTAACCTATGGATTTTCTTTGAAAGTATTGTGATATTTAGCAAGTTCTCACTCATTTTAATTGTACGGTAGCATCTTAATGAATAAGTAGCATTTGCAGTAGAAATGGAAATTAAAACATACTGAAAGTGCTTTTCGTTTTGGCATATAAAAGAAATTAATATTTTATTAACATCGCGTATTCCTTTATACATTTTATCATAGTCAATGTTAATGTGTTATGTGTTATGTGTGAGCTGTGCGAGTTGCACAAAGCATAAATATTATTTTTCCAGACAATAAGCATCAACAGATAATCATTGAGAATACAAATTAAGATTGTTTAATTACGTTTATTTAAAATAAGGTTGTTGAGTTAGTAACTTCTTCCCGTGAGTGTTGAACTCACTTTTGATCAGTTTCACATCCTTGGTTCTGTTCCTGGTTGATTGTGGCAACAGCAGACTCCTTAAAATGTATTTTTAACCTTCAAATTTTTTATTATTTTTAAATTTTTCATTGACATTTAAGCATCTGAATATGACAATTAGTGTCAAAAGCTGATTGATCATGTCAATTTTAAAAATTGTGAAGAGGATAGAAAGTAATTTGTGTAGATTCTAGTAAGGAAGAGGGTAGATTTGGAGTTAACCAATACTTTATGTAATTTATAAATAATTCCTTACCAATTCATTAAACAACAAACTTATTATCGATTCCTTCAATCGAATCTAGTCAACAAATTATTTAATTATTATCCTGCATGAAACAATCACATGTAACATTCAACACGAATAAATTAATAATTACTTACAATAATCAAAAAGATAAATCAGCAATCAAAGATAACAGCCTATAATTTAGGAATAAAAATAAACATTCATACGTCATTATTGATGATTCAATAAATATCGATAACCGTGATTGAACCTAAAATCCCCAATATGAATAATGTCTGATAAATATTCCCCATATGGGCAGAGGTGGTGTAGATGTATGCTGACAATTGTTGACTCAGAAACTGTTGGAAATTGACAACCCAGCGCCAAAATTGGTAGGGTTTGGTCCCTTTCAAATTGTTATCTATCTTCTTTAGTCAAGTTAGAAAAAGTCAATAAATTCCATGAACTCTAGTCTTTTAACAAAAAAAAACATCTCAAGGGGAAAACAACTTGATGAGAAAAAATATTGTTGAATTCTGAAATTTATTGAAATATTTCCAATCATGTTGATTTCTCCTTGCTTCCATCCTGACCACAATATTTAGTTTATTGAATAGATATCCCTTAATGCTTAATAAACATATCCATAAGTCCATTAAGCTATTGAAATATCACCCAACAAATAAGGAAATCATACAGACATAGACTTTAATTCTAAAATAAACAATAATTATCAACAGTAATCCACAAAACTAAATCCCAAAACTAAGTAGTTCACATAAAATAATGATTTTCATTACCTTTCAAAATGTAAATTTAATTACTCTGTAAGAAGTTTGCTTCTTAACAGCTCTTTACATTTAGTTGCGATTGATACAAATGTGTTGAGAATTCATAATGAGAAGAATATGAGGATTGAATTACATGCTATGACACAAACATTGAATTTTCGCTGGATTATGAAAGCAGCGTGGATTTCATTTACATTTTCATGTGTAATTAATTGAAAGCAAAAGAAATAAAATCATCAATGTTTGATGAAGTGTAAAGAATCGTCAGCGTCAGCACAATTATAAACTAAAATGGTTATGGAGGCAACAATTCAAAAATGAATTTATGAATTGCATATTTTATATCATGATATCATTAAAATTCAGTGGAGCATGCATCGAAAAATCTATGTTTTCGGGCGAGATGCTCATTAGGATTGAGCAAAACAAAAAAAAATTAATAACTCTTTCTATTTTAAAGGAAATGAGATTATGGGATAGTGGGATGACGTACGTAAAGAAGTCAGTTGCTTTTCCTTCTGATTAAATTTTGTGTCTCACAGTAAATTTAATTTCAACAAAACATTAATTGTTAGTCTTGTAGCGAAAAACTTGAGGGAGGAAACAAGATGATGAGAAAAAATTTTGATTTAAAATTTCCAACAATCTTAAAATAAATAAAAGTTAATATTTATTTTAGAAAATTCATATTTTTATGTTTCCTCATCATGTTGTTATCCCCTCGGAAAAACTTTTCTATCATCTCATTGAAAGTGAGAAATTTCCTACTTTTTTTTTAATTGGCCTTTGGCAAATCAAAAGTTAACTTTGCTGTTTTAATGTAATCATCATGACTGGAATACGAATTTTTAATGAATGTCAAAAAATTATTAAACTTGATAAGCTATTAAAAATATTCCACTGAATTATTCATATAAAAAAGTTTTCAGTAAGCAAGAGTTGGAGATAAAATGGATTGAATGGGAATGAATAAAGCTTTATTTAATTTATTCATAGTGCTGTAGTTGGTCTAATCATGACTTTATAGGCTTTTGAATGGAACGAAATTTTAAAATTTTGAAAAATGTATTTTTACTGTTTGTATATTTTGCTATAAAATTCAAAATCCAAAATACCGTTGAATTTCGCGACAAAACTTAACGAGCTGTTGTTTGCTTTAAAAATATAAAAATTAAGAAAGTTGCTATAAAAATTTAAAGTTAAGAAAGTTGCCATAAAAATTAAACAATTAAAAAAGTTGCTATAAAGTTTTCAAAATTATGTCGTTAATTGGTTATAAAATTCAAAAATTAAGAAAGTTGCTATAAAAATTTTGAAAATTAAGAAAGTTGCTATAAAAATTCAAAGTTAAGAAAGTTGCTATAAAAATCCAAAAATTAAAAATGTTGCTATGAAAATTCAAAGTTAAGAAAGTTGCCATAAAAATTCAACAATTAAAAAAGTTGCTATAAATTTTTCAAAATAATGTCGTTAATTTGTTATTAAATTCAAAAATTAAGAAAGTTTCTATAAAATTTAAATATCTCAAAACCGTTAAAAATATGACTTCCAAAGGTCAGTTAAATTTCCAATAAAATCGTTCCTCACATCAAATAAACCAATATGTCTGAATTTCCACATTCTTATCAGCTCTTATCGTAGATCCACAAACTGAATGTTTATTTATATCTACATTTAATTCCATTATTTATTTTTAACCACACCAGCCCATTGATCATATTTTTATAGACAAAATATTCTATTTTAACAGAAATTTAAATTTTGCGGAGATGGTGACTGTCCTGACTACATTTTGGCTATTATTCACTCAAATCTGTGTGGACTAAGTAGTATAAAGCTCAAATCGTTCTCATCACGAGTGGTTTTATTAATCATAAATGACACAACTGTAGACGAAACTGAATTTTCCAACCTCTTTGATGGATCTGTAAACGATTTCAAATCGGCTTTTGAATGTATTCGCTTTTTACTTCTATCAGCCGTGCGATTTGGTGTAACAAAGGATGTATTTTCTATTGAACTACAGCAACTTGGACTACCTCGAGAGCATTCACTAGCTTTGGGAAAAGTATTCGATGAGCATTTCGGAAGTATAGAAAGCTATTTGAGAAAGGATTCGCTGTACATTAATAAATTACTCAGTTCAAATTTTGTAACATGTGATGACGGCATCGATTGTGTTACAATGAAATTCAGACTATCAAATTCTATCGATGGTAGTTCGGAGACGGAGCAGACAATAAATATAAATAATACTGACATTCCAATTCTATTAAAAGAGCTGAAAATCATAAAAGCTAAAATGGATGAACTCGATTATGGTCAATAAAAGCAATTAAAAGATGATGAAATTATTTTAATCAAATTTAGTCTATAATACTTTGTAGTTTTTTTGTAAACGCTGACTAATTAAATTATATAGAAATATGTTATCGACGGAAATTCCATTACTAATAACATTTTGTATGCATTCAGAAATTCCAGCGTGGTGAGTCAAGTTAACGATTAAAATTTGAATTTCCCGCACTTTTTTGAATTTTAACGAATCGTTAATTTATCCCGACCAATATACGTTCTAGTGTTATCTACACAGCTGTACACTCACGGTAACATTCAAATGCTTCTCATTTGCCAACTTATTGCTTCTTTTCAACTATCAGCTTAGTCACCATGTGAATGACATTTAATGCTGTGCTGCTCGGGATCATTTATTGTTTTGAAAAAATATTGCTTGGAAAATTGAAATCCTTTAAAATAATTCAATTTAATTAAGTTTTGTGGTGAAATGAGTGGTTATTCAATTATAGAGTATTTTGGAGGAAGTAATGACGGTAAATGTGGATACTGTAAGCAGACAGGAAACTATAATTCTCATGGCTTTTGGGCTCATTCTATGAATGTTGATGACTATCAGAACTTAATTGATAGAAATTGGCGACGATCTGGTCAGTACTGTTATGTCCCAAATAATAAAAATACGTGCTGTCCAATGTACACTATTAAATGTGATGCCATGAGCTTTAAACTGTCAAGAAGTCACAAGAAAGTTCTTAAGAAAGTCAATAGATTTCTACGTGATGGAAGCAAAGAAAAAAGCCGTACTAAGAATCAAGATATCCAGTCAGGTATTTCTGATGAACCAACACCATCAATGGAGCATACAAGCTTAGATGTAAAAGAATTGTCGTCTATCGCCAAAAGTAAAGAGTCCACAGAGAAAGTTAAGCCGAGGACAACGTCAGAAATGTCAATTGATGACGGAACTAGTCATTCAACTCTTAAATATAATACTTTGAAATCTGACGTTGCACAAAAGTCATTGCGTCCAACAAAAAAGAAGTTTATACGTCTAGAGAGAAAAATAGCAAAGCTAGCAGCCAAAGGACTGACATTAGCTGATGTAAAGCGAGTTAACAAGAGCAAGCAGAAGACTCTTGAAGATTTTCTTGCAGAGGAACCGACTAATGGAAAGCATAAGTTACAGGTTTGTATAAAGGTAAAGTCATCAGTAAATTGACAATTAATAACTTTATCAATGCAGGTAAAGCTCGTTCGATCAACTGAAGGTGCTACCGACTCAATATTAGATTTATTTCAATCGTATCAAATGAAAATTCACAATGATCCGCTTGAAAAAAATTCAAGACGAAGCTACGAGCGATTTCTTGTCAATTCCCCACTTCAGGTAAATTAAGCCATAAAATATGTTAATTAATTCTCTTCTCTTCTCTTCCTTAAAATATTCAATTTCTAAGACAAAATTGGTATCTGTTAGTGCTGCACAAGGTTCCAACATCAACGTATCTTATGATTTATTTTGCAAATATGAATCGATAATTCATAAAAGTAGCGATAATGAATTCTCAAATTATAATCAATTCCTTGTTGATTCTCCTCTTAAGGTTAGCGCTGTTGATCATTTTAATCGGGTTTTGTGTTTATCTGGGATCTTGTTTGTGCTAACACTGCTTTTTTTCTTGCACTTTGTAACTGAATTTCATAATAATTTCGATTGTTGCACATGCTTGACATTCAACTTTCCATTATTGCAGCTCCGAAAAGATGATAACTCACCGCCAGATGGATATGGCTCATTTCACTACCAATATTATATGGACGGAGAATTAATTGCTGTCGGAGTCATTGACATCCTGCCTTTGTGCATCTCGTCTGTTTATTTCTACTATAATCCAGACTATAGTTTCTTGTCACTTGGAACGTACGCGTCACTTCGCGAAATTGCCTTGGTTCGACAACTTTCAAAGTCGTGTCCTCAATTAAAACATTATTATCTCGGATTTTATATTCCGACATGTCCAAAAATGCGCTATAAATCGAACGTGAAGCCTTCATATTTATTATGTCCTGAAGTATTCACTTGGCATCTTCTTGATGAGAATTTGACAAAGGAAATTGATTCTGTTAAATATTTAAAGATCAATAAAACGGAAACAGACAAAGAAGCAGTAACAAATGATGATTTGCTGAATGTTATGGTCCTAGCTGATAGAACTGCCATGAAATATAAAGATTATAAAAAGGTAAGTTCATTAAATTGGCTCAAAAAGGTGAGTTTATGTCCATAAATTATTAAATTCGTCTTTATTTCATTTGTTCTGTGTCTGTTCCATAAATACAGATGATGAAGTCAAAGAGAAAGGGTTCAGACGATAGCCAGGAAATCATGGAATATGCATCAAAAGTTGGTAAACATTTATCACAAAGCATGCTCATCTTCCGATGCTGAACATGTATTATTAGCATGAATTTATTATTAATTAACGTAATTAACTTGTCGAATAAAATTATAACAATTATTTAAAATGCGATTAATTCTAGTAAAATTGCGATAGTTGTGCCACTTATGGCTTATTCTTTTCATCACTTTTACTATCACTCTGTCCTTCATTCCACTTTTGCACTTCACCACTACCAAATGCTATGAAGAATAAACCCGGAAGAATGTAAACGAAAGCGCCAATGATAAATATCCATTGCCACTCGTCCATTGTGCTCTATGAATTTTAATGGAACAAAAACAAAAATATTTTAATGTTATTGAAATTCTCATATTCTGCGAAACAACGACTTATGTATGCATTTTTGAGCGACTACCTGTTATAGTGTCATTCACACCATAACTTTAGAATGAGACGTCTCGAATGTGACGTAAAGTTTAAATGCTAACAACTTCCATGATTGACATGGACGTAATTTTATTTCCTACATTCACGGTTTGCTCAAAAATAATATTCAGTCATAGATGAGAGTCCAAACTAGTTAAGAAGACTTTCGTAAAGCCTCATATTAGTTAATGATTATTCTTACCCTCTCTTGCGTGAAATAAGCTACAATCAGCGGCGATATAAATCCACTAGTTGTGGCAACAAAGTTGATTATTCCATATAATTGACCGGCAAAGCTTGGTGCTAGATCTTGCGAATTCTGAAGATTTGTCATTGTTGCAGCTCCATTAAATCCAAGTGATAATGTGATGACAGCTACACAAATGTAAGGATCATATCCAATTTTACAGAGCAATAAGAGAAACAATCCAGGAATGATATGAGCTGCAAGATAAAATTTTACAGTAATTAATCATATTGGAACCAAAGATTATGCAACTGTGCTTCATGCACAACTATGCATTCTGGTTTAGAGTAACAACTTACAGAATATACAGAACGACTTTCTAATAGCTGTTGTTCCAAGTATTTTCTTATGCCTAAGTGTATCACCTATACTTCCAAAGATGTAACCAGCAATAAGTCTAGCTAGGTATGGAAGACTGCTGAGAATACCAGCTTCTGTAAGTTTAAACTTAAGGACTTCGCTCATGAACTTTGGTGCTGCAGTTATAAGGAAGAAGAGTCCAAAAGTGCCACCAAAATGAAGAAATACGAGTGAATAAAATGGGAGAGATTTAAGTACATGATTCATTGGTGGCCAATGCTTCTTCTTATCAGTTTTAACAGCTCCAAGAGATTTCTCAATTAGTTCCTTCTCAGCTTTTGTGATTCTTGGATGAACTGTTGGTGAATCGTGTACAAAATACAGCCATACAAATGAAATCAGCATAGACAGCACAGCAGGTGCATAAAATGCATGTCTCCATCCAAAATGCTCAGTAATGTAGCCAGTCAATGGCCAACTTATCACAGTTCCAAAGACTCCACCCATCAATGTGCTTACAAATTTTCCTTTCTCTTCAAATGGTGCCCACTTGGATATAATTTGATGTAATGCTGGATATAAAAAGCCACCCATAAGACCCAAGACGAATCGCATGATGAACATAAATATGAAATTATTATGGGCTGCGAATGGACTTAATGCTGTAATTATCGATGATATTAGCATCGTAAAAAACACCACTTTACGTCCGCCATACATTTCAGCCAGACTTCCACCAATAAGATTGGGAAACAGGTAGCCATAGAAATATGCACTCAATAATAATCCTTGAGCTTTCTTGTCCCAGTTAAACTGATCGTCATCATCATTATGACTACTCCGATAGACAACGTCTGTTTCATTTGTTAATAATAAATCACTGGAACTGGCTGTTAAAGATGAGTTAATTTGTATAGTCGTTGCATTCGTATCAGCTGACATTTTAATGATTATGATTGAAAAATTAACTCGAAGCATATATGAAATGAAGCTAGCCATGAACAGAAGCAGTGCAACATTAAGTCGTGTCGGTATTTTGTCTAAATAGAAAACAAATAAGATGTTAGAGATAAAGGCATTAAAATTATTATTTACATTCTGTACAAAATTATCAGCTCGTGTACATTATTATTATTATCATTATTTTGTGTCTCGAAATTCCACTTTCCATCATCAATAATATGATCAGCATGCAACCGCATTAAGACTCAAGTGTTGTCAATAAAATTTATAACTAGATTGATTGATGGCAATTAAGAGATTTTTATTTGTTTTTATGCAATCAACTTTATATGCGTGTATCAATCTCCTTGACTGCATTTTGACATTGCTACATAAATTCTTGGACTGAGACATAATCACATTAATAACTGCAACACTTCCTTGAATTTATTTCTGTTGCTTTCAAACAAATAGCTGGAGTTGTTCACTTATGATGTTTGATCCATGGATAATTACATAAAAGACACTTAATGAGAATGCAGGTAAAAGGAATAAGGTTTAGGTTTTGTCCAAAGTTGGTCGAAAAAGCATCCAACTCTAACCAATACATTTCTTCTGCTAATAAACGCTGAGGATTAAGTAAGAAAAAGCGTGAAACTAATGAAGATCATGGATCATAGTTGATCTTTAGATCTACATAGGTGCAAAGCCAGGAGTGTATTGTCCCCCCTTAAACGTTTTGAACCGCAGCGAGAGCACGACCTAAAACGCTTAAAAGAGGAACAAGACCCTCCTGGCTACGCGCCTGGATTTACATCTACATGGTTCTTAACTCAATCTTCCTTAAATAATATGTCTTCGTTATCATAGACAACCTATATGATTTTAAACATCACTTGACTATTACCCCTCCATTGGCAATGACACAAGGTAAGCTATTTATTTAGATACCTCTCATTTAAGCCTAATTAATAGACTCGCATTTAAGTAGTCATAATCACTAAGTTTATAAACATTCTGATAAAAACTTTGCATTATTTGAACATCGTTGAGCAATTCTTGAGTTGTAAAATTTTATGAGCATGCAAAGCAGGGCCCCCCCCCCCCAAAAAAAATGTGATAATTGTTTTATTAAGTATTTATAGAGAAGAACCAGTTAATATAGAGGAAATGATGAAAGAAATTTCAAAATCAGCACGAAAAATTAAATTTAATGTATGAATAATGAATTCAATATTTAAACTTATGAAGAATGAATATAGATTTAAGGATACAAAATAACGGTTTTTTAATTTTCGAAAATGGGCCCCCCCCCTTAAAAATTTTCTGGCTACGCCCCTGATGCAAAGCATTCATTTGTGCTATTTGGATTTAAATAGAACCTCAGTCATTGATCTCAACAAGTTTGTATAGAGTTATGAATAAATAATAATAATCTTTACACATTTGCTTAGAGTTTTTATCAATTCCGAGGAAATTCTAGTTCTATGTTCCAAAAAGTATGTAAATTAGCAATAATTATGGAATAAATTAATAAGATTACTTTTTTACTTTACACCATTACAAGTTTTGAGTTAAGCAGCAGAAGTGTTACTTCCTTTTTTGCGAACACAACCGATGACAAAATTTCTTCAACGTTCGACTTTTTCTCTTTAAATTTATTCTTTTTAAAATGTTAAAGTCCGCAAGTTTATTGATCTTTAGGGTCGAGTAAACAACTTTACATGATACTTTACTAAGATCCGTAAATGCAAAAGGATGGGCGCTTTAAAGAAGACATTTATAAAGATGACGTTAAGCACTTAAGTGCATGGATGTATAAGGGATAGCTTACTTTGGAGTCTAGAATAAGGTTGGATCAACTGAAGAAATTTCAAATTTTAATAATTTCCAAATCAAAAAGTGTTTCTTAACTTGTTTCAAAATTAAGATTAAGGCAGTCCTAAATCATAGATATTATAATCGAATCTAATCAAATCAACCCCAAATAGACAACAATTGACTTGATATTGAATGCTTTAAACAAACGTTTTTTATGATTGACCCCAGAAAACAATAAGTTACTGAAAGTGCGGGTAAAGACTTTCTTATTTCCAACTTTATAAAGAAATCACATTCATCCTTGAAGCTTAAAATTGAGAAAGTTGTTGTCAATTGAACCTCAATACTGCTCTCCTGTATGGACGCCCCCTAACAGCTTGATCAAAAATCAATCAAATTATAACCTCGAAATAAATTGCAAAAAATATTAGTTCCTAAGTTCAAAGTTAAAACGGAAGCAGTGCACTTAATAAATTAATAACAAAAAGAGTGAATTCTACTCAATTCTCAATATCTCCAAACGTACTTCACGCTTCATAACAAATGCATAGATAATCAATTCTTTTCGAAAATTCACCATTAAATCTATTTTCCCACAAGTCTAGCTACTGCCTCCACAAACACAATAGATTTTGAATGAAAGTTTAGAATACTTCAATTTCTGACATTTAAGCATGTGAAGTGTTGGAATGATAAATATTCAACATGATACTTGTGAGGTTAATGACGAGTCGATAATTCAAATCATGAGTGAAAAAAATATAAATAAAAATAATAATCATGAATTTGTGTCACGGACAGCAATGTAGAAAAACTTATTTTATTAGAAGTATTGCAAATCTTTAATAGCCCGTCAAACTGATGCTTTTGTGCACTTAAAAGGAATTTTATTGGGCGTAGCAATCACAAGACGAAAAAGTCATTAAGGATGATGTAAATTTTATATGATTTTGACTTTATAAGATATTAAAGTTGTCATATGATTAAATGGAGAAAATTTCCTTAAAAATAAACAATTTCAAGTTTCTGTCAAGCTTTTCTCTTTTTTGTGTTTTGCGGCTAGCCGTCTCCTTATTATTTAACGAGCGCATGCCTATACTTGAATGTAATCTACACAGTTTGTAACACTCTAGTGAGTCTACAGGGCTTGAATGCACCACAGAAGGCTGGAGTAGGTACTTAAGTAGGATCTTAGCTGATAACTCTTTGATTCGAAGATTTTGAAGACAGTACCAATGCTTATTTAACAAACTAGAGATGGTTTCACTTTATATGTGGTACAAAATAAGTAAACATCATAAACTTAACAATTAAACTCAAAAACAAGCCAATCGTATTGTGAAATTTCGAAAAGATGTGCCCTTCAAAAAAGTATGCCATATCACTTTGCAGCAAAACAACAGACAGATTTGCATGATGCAGTAATTAAATCGCGATTTTTGAGTAATTTTTTCCCATGTTAAAAATTCTTATCTCCCTTTTATCTTCAACAACCATTAATAGCTTCATTAAAACTATTTAATACATGAAATATTATCCATTTGATCTTCAATGTCAGTTCCAATTAAACTTGCTCCAATTATTTATTTTTGCCACAAGTTTTCAATGACATCTGAAGTTTATGACCAAAATAAGAATGTCAACGACTTTTAGGTTCTTGGACTATAATGTGAATTTAAGAGTTTCTGAGTTCTTTCTGGTGGTTCCCCGTCGACAGAATAGGCAAAAAATGATTAAAACTCGCAAAAAAAATTAAGATTGTTTTGACTTGGTTGTTGATTTTTTGTTTGCAATACCGGTTTTAACTTTAGATCCTCATTCTTTGCTACTTACCAAAAATACTCGACAGCAACTTGGCATTCACTGTTTGTACCATTTTAAATTATTTCTTTTCAAATTGGAATTTTCTAAATTATTGATTTTTATTTTGTCAACACAAAAGAGATCTTTTGAAGCTTTTGGCACTAAACGAATTGCCAAAAAAAATTATTTCTCAAAAATTTCAATCAACAAATTGCTTTCATGTTTATCAAGCAAGTCAAAATATTTAAAAACACGTAAAACTGCACGCGAAAGCTCAAATAATCCAACACACAACGCGTCTGCTGTGTGACTGAACAAACATTCGTGTTGAAAAATCATTTTTATGTTGATACGATCGCGAATTTTTTTGCAATTTTTCTCTTTTCGATCGCCATCAGATGTTGATCAGATGTTTGTCTTGCTAGCAACGTGATTTCCTTGTGTGAATGTTAAAGTCATATTTCTCTCATTCTCTTCTCTCGCATACGCATCGATGCCGGTATAACTACCTCAATAACTTTTAAAGTAAGCATGTGAATAGGAAGGAATACAGTAATTATGTGCAATGACATTGTGCGGCTTAAAAAGCTTCAACTGCAATGCAGCTGATTTTTTACTTCAGAGAGAAGAGAAAGGGGATCATTGATTTATGACAGACATAGGTGAGTGCGTAGATAGGTAGGGTGTCACGATAATCGTATTTTGAAGTACTGGATATCCATCATTGCTATATTTTATTAGAAAAGATGTTCAAACTACTAGTCTAATTTGATTTAACTATACATGTCAAATTATCTAAATACCTCTGGTAATAAACTATTATTATTTTTATTACTATCAATTATATACTCTCCCGATTCCAATAATTCATTGTTGGTTTAATAAAATCAATCCTTATTTATTGACAAAGGGGCCGTTCACTTAGTACGTTACGCAAAAAAACGACTTCTTTCACCCCCCCTCCCCCTCTTGTTACAATATGTTACAACTTACAACCCCCCCCCCCCCCCCCTGAACGTTCATAATTTATTTTATTTTGATAATTTTTCATAAATCACAGTTAGAACGTTACATACTTCTTGACACCCACCCCCCCCCCCCTTCCCCCTATGTTACATTTTTTTACAATTTTTCAACCCCCCCCCCCCCCCTAAAATGTGAACGACCCCAAACTTAATTATTAATTCTTCATTGATTTAAATTAATAACAACGATGTTTATTCTTCAGTGATCAAAAACAGACTATATTTCTATGAAGGGGATAACATTTATACAAGGGGAAGTCAACTAATCGTACTTATAAACATAATTTAAAATATAAAGCAACCGTTAAAATATTCTCAACAGTCATCAACAATATAACCAAGAAAATGAAGCTTTTATGAATTTAATTACCTTGTTCACTTTAGTTCCATAAAATCAATTTTACCGCTAATTACACAGACTGCTTTTATTTCGGAAGTCAACAGTGACTCGACACTTTGAGTTATAAAAATAGAGCAAGAGAAGGTGAAGAAAATTATGTAAACGTGATGGCGCCTCTATTTTTATCATGATTGAGTTGTTGATGGAAGAAGAAGTAGGAATGGCATGAAAGATTGCAATGAATGGACATATATGAAACCAAGATGCCCGGTAATAACACCGACGCGGAATAACTTCACAACGCAGCTCCGGAATAATGTCGAAAATTTAAAATGCATAGAGCGGTAATAACTTCACCTATATAGCCTGAGTGAACTTATTCCGGCGTGGCGCAGGAATAACTTCACCTAGAAAATGAAGGTGAAGTTATTCTTGCACGCTGTAGGAATAACTTCACTTATATGTGCCAAGTGAAATTATTCCTGCGCCACGTCGTAATAATTTCACAAATTTTTGTTCATCGACATTATTCCGTCATGATGCAGGAATAACTTCACTTATAATTTCTATGTGAAGTTATTCCTGTTTTGTGTAATTACTTTTATGTTATTTTTTAAGGGTTTTTTACCTTTCCATGTAAATTTCTCTTTTCGCTATCTTAATTACTTTTTTATTTATTTATATATAATTTTTTGGTTTTTTTTAAATACTTTTTCAACCATAACTTTATTTCTTAACATACTAATTAGCTCATGTTGTAATCCAAAAAAAATTTCTACTTGCATTTGATTTAAAACCGAATAGGTTAATATCAAACAATTTTCAATTTGTTCCGCCATGATCACACTAAATTTAATAAAAGGATTATATTATTATTAAGGGTTTTTTATGATATTTAATTAATAAAGTTCTTCAGTAATATGTTTTGAAGTTTGTTGCGGATTTTATTCTAATTTGATGTAAGACAAGATAGTTTCTTATATCTTCGAAACTAATTTGGAATATATAGAAATTTCACTACTAATTCGTAATTACTTTGAATATCAATTAAAACTTTAATTAATTTTTCTGGAGTTATAGGCTCTTTTGCTGAAATATCTCTATTAGATATCAATCTTGTGATATTAACACATGTTTTTGTATCTAAAAGGCAGGCTTTAGATGAGAATTTAATAGCTAAAATTAACAAAACTTTTGTCAACAGTGTCAATTGGTAACATAAGAGCGCTTCCATACAAAATTAAAATTCAAAAAGTTGCACAATTAGCTAATTTTACCTTGTTTAATTAAACTAGAAGCAAGTGAAATGATAAAATATACATTTTTTCAATCCATTAGAAGGATAGCTTGCAACAAAAGAAGTAAAATCTAGTGTTCAAAATCTTACCAAAAAACTCGTGAGAAAAATTTTCTCAGAGAAAACTTGATTTGAAATCTCGCGAGTTTTCAAATCTCGTGAAATTTTTTTCTCACGTCTTAATCTCAATTGAGATTTTTAATCTCAATTTGTAACGTCACAAGGGAAATTTTTCAAAAAATTTGAATGAAATTTTTGAACACAAAGGTTAATGGAAGTTTTTCTGATATTGACTGTGTTCCTGTTTTTGAATGCACATCAGTTTACAGCTTCAATGCCTCTGGATGCTTTTTTGATCTCTTTAAGCATTTCTGAGTGTGAGAACTAGCCGTTGAGAACCTTTTCGTTTAAATTTTAATACAAATGCTATGCCATCGTAAAGGTTGGTTAAAAATTAACTTTATTTATCCAGTCCCAAAAAGTTCGAAAAACTTTATTTTCTAAGATTTCGAACACTAGATTTTACTTCTTTTGTTGCAAGCTATCCTTCTAATGGATTGAAAAAATGTATATTTTATCATTTCACTTGCTTCTAGTTTAATTAAACAAGGTAAAATTAGCTAATTGTGCAACTTTTTGAATTTTAATTTTGTATGGAAGCGCTCTTATGTTACCAACTGATACTGTTGACAAAAGTTTTGTTAATTTTAGCTATTAAATTCTCATCTAAAGCCTGCCTTTTAGATACAAAAACATGTGTTAATATCACAAGATTGATATCTAATAGAGATATTTCAGCAAAAGAGCCTATAACTCCAGAAAAATTAATTAAAGTTTTAATTGATATTCAAAGTAATTACGAATTAGTAGTGAACTTTCTATATATTCCAAATTAGTTTCGAAGATATAAGAAACTATCTTGTCTTACATCAAATTAGAATAAAATCCGCAACAAACTTCAAAACATATTACTGAAGAACTTTATTAATTAAATATCATAAAAAACCCTTAAAAAATAACATAAAAGTAATTACACAAAACAGGAATAACTTCACATAGAAATTATAAGTGAAGTTATTCCTGCGCCACGCCGGAATAAGTTCACTCAGGCTATATAGGTGAAGTTATTACCGCTCTATGCATTTTAAATTTTCGACATTATTCCGAACTCACGATTTTCTCTACAAGTGAAGTTATTCCGCGTCGGTGTTATTACCGGGCATCGAAACCAAATCATTGCTGTTGATTTTAATTTTATGATGATAATTTGTTACAACATTTATTGATGTCTATTTTTATACATCGCAAGATTATTAATTTGTGCAGCAATCAGCTAATGACTCACATTCGCTTTTGTCTTGCAATTTCTCATTTTCTTCAATCTCGTTAAATATTTCTTCGACTTTTAGTCGTAGATGCTTTGGAATCACTTTTGGATATTGAATTTCAAAATGAATGATTAGATTCCCACGTTGATAGTTGTTATCGGGATGTGGAAGGCCCTCTGATTTAATACATTTTTCGTAATCGCAACTGTGAACAAAGCATTTTGAAATTCTTAATTTGAATAAAATTAGCAATCTTGTTAAGGTTCATTCTGACTCCCGCAAAATATATGATTTTCAATTCTAGGATAGAGATCCAAGAAATATTCAACTGAAAGAAAGAACAATCGAGCTCTGACTCTTCAATGCTTCATTTTTTCCTAGAAATTCGCCTTCCTTTTAAAAAAAATCTCTGATTTTAAAATCTTAAGCACAAACTTTAAAAAGAAGTTGAAAAATAAGAATGTCTTGAGAACAATCAGTTGATTTCGTGTAAAAAGGTCATGCAAAATATCTCTGATTGTATCATGCTGTTAAGAATAGCATTTTATTTCGGGTTTTTTCCCCATTGTTGTGTTATGAAGTATAATATTTCAAACTGTTCTCTGGAGAATTTAAGGAAGGAGTTGCGCAATCATCCAAAAATTATGTTTCTTAATAGCTTAATAGCTGAACTTACCTTACAATATCCGTCACATTGAATTCCAACTTTCTATCATCCACCGTTAAAACTTGCATTTTAAATCCTGCTAGTGCCTGCTTCAGTGTAATTGAATAATCCATATGAAGATCAATCTTATCACGTCGGAATAATTTATGAGGAATATCAGAAGTTATGAAGACTACATCACCTGGCTTACGAGTAATTGACTGATCCCATGCTTCATTAAATAAAATTTTGGTACCTTCAAAACATCCAGGACAGACATGAATAGCAAGATATGCCTCTCGATCTTCAGTTTTAATCTTCAAATCATCAACAAATTCTTTTCGTTTATAGTTGAAAAGCTTCGTACATCCAAAATAAACATCTTCAAGAGATAAGTGGAGTAATTTTGATACTTCTGGATCTTTATGGATGACACCAAATCCCTGTTTGACTTTATATAATGGAGGTGGATTTGTCACAGCATCAATAAGATCAGAGTAAGGAGAATTCGAGCCAAAAACTTCAAAGTAAGTCCGCATTGGATCATTATGATAGCAATAAGGTTGAACATATCCATTTGGTGCTGGAACTCCACGTTTAAGCCCTTCCTCGCCATAATGATTAAAAACTTCTCTTCTCAAATCATCCGACAGCACATCATATGCTTCATTCAGCAATCCCCAATAGACATTTTCAGATAAAGCTGGCAATGGCATGTCAAAAACCTTATCAGGTTGTGGATTCGGATGTTGTTGATACTGTTTTCTCATTGGATGTAATCGTAATGCTAACTTCCTGTAAGCTAATTTGATTTCCCATAAAGATGCATCTCGTTTCACATCCAGTAAGGCATAATAGTCGACACCCATTTCTCAATGCACAAAAATTAATTAAGCAAATAAAAACAAGTTTAATTTTGTCAAATCAAATAAAAATTCCCAAATTTATTACATAAAATTATGACCTACTTAAACTTAAACTTAATTGAATTTCTAAAACAAAAGTCAATCTTAAGAACTTTATAAATGTGTATCAATTGCATCTTTCTTAGTAGAATTAGATTCATTCCACTTTTGAACACGTCCATCGCCAAAGATGAAGTAAAAGAATGCAGGAATTATGTACACAGCAGCACCTACCCAGAAAACATGTTGCCATTCATAAATCGAATGCTGAAAGGTTCAATAAACTTTGTTTAAGAATTCAACAATAAAAATTGGATTTGTTCGTAAGATTTGTAACAATTTGTCACGACCTGTGCCAGATTCTAAGGCACAAAATCTATCAATTCTAGCATTACAAAGCTTGCAAACAACCCCAAAAAGAAAACTGAATTGTCTTACGCCATCCTCTGTGAAATAAGCAACAATAATTGGTGAAATAAAGCCACTGGTTGTGCCGACAAAGTTGATGATGCCATACAGCGTTCCAGCAAAATTAGGCGCAAGATCTTGTGAATTTTGTAAATTTGTCATAGTTGCAGCTCCATTAAATCCGAGTGATAATGTGATGACAGCCACAACGAGATATTTATCAAATGCCAGCAATGTTATTGAAAGTAAAAATAATCCGGGTATCACGTGCGCTAGACAGAGATGGGGAAGTACAAAAAAAATAATGTTGTTATGGTCGGAATGATAACCTGACAATGAATTTATAATTTCATTATCGTCAATTATCCAAAATGACACTTACAGAACAAACAAAACGATTTACGGATTGTTGTAACACCAAATGTATTTTTACGTCGGAGGTAGTCACCGATTGCGCCAAAGGCAAAACCGGCTAAGAGACGTGCTAATGGTGGAAGTGCAGCCAAAAAACCAGCTTTTGCTAGATTAAAGTTCAATGCCTGTGTCATAAATAATGGTGCTGCATTCATGAGGAAGAACAAGCCCCATAATGATCCATAATGTAGAACCAGTAATGCATAGAATGGAATTGACGTAAATATACCGACGACTGGTGGAAGTCGTTTTTCTTTCGAGACTGCATCGCCTAGTGACTTGTGGATAAAGTCACGTTCAATTGACGTTATTCTCGGATGATCAGCTGGCGTATCAGCTACAATAATATACCAAAACAATGTTATTATAAATCCAATTCCAGATGGCAAATAAAAGCCGAGTTTCCATCCATAATTCTCGATTATTATGCCTAGCATTGACCACGTGACAACAGTTCCTAGCAATCCTCCAAGAAGTGCACTGATAAACTTTCCCTTTTCTTCTGGCGGTGACCATCTTGCTACTAAGCAATGCAATCCGGGATAAACTACACCCTTTAAGTATATGGAAGTAAATAATTATCATTAATGTGTCAAGAACAATTTCTAATTGAATGTCATTTTTTTTCTATGGATTTTTTTAATTGGAAGCGACATGTGATAACGTTATATTCAAATATTGAACAGAAGCGACATTGGTTGTGGACCTTGATGTAGAATTATAGGAAATTTCATGTATTGAATGGTAAATGCTCTTGAAACTTGTGCAAAAAGTATTTTGGGGTCGTTTAAATGTTACGGAACATCATAAAACTACCAAAAACTTTCTTTGGTCTAGCAAAGAAGACACAATCTATGCCAAAAAAACTTTGATACTATTTAAATTGAAGAAAATCTTCTGCAAATCTCTCAATAACCACAAGCCTAGCTCTTCCTATTACCAGCAATCGAGTAACAATTTTTATTTAATTCTGGAACATTCCATGAAGATATTTATGAAGCTGCAGTGTAGATGAAGTTGGTCTTATTTTTTTTTGTATGCGGAAATTATGTGAAAGGTAAGCAATAACTTTCCCGAGCCGCACAATCCCATTTCTGGAATCATTGATTCTTTATCATATCTCTAGAGATTTAAATCCGTTAAGTGACAAGACAGTGTACCTAGAATTGAATTGTTCTGCTCGGGTTTAGTAACTTTTCCTGTTCTAGTACAAGTTATGCTCAGCCACTTTGTATGAATTTGTATTTACAGAAGAAATCTTACACAAATTGAGTACAGGTTATCGGGTTTCGGATACTTTGATTCACAGTTATCAGATCGATGGCTACAGAAAGGTGTGTGTCTAGCTAGTTTAAACCGCGTAGCCCTAAATTGATAAGAATTAGAGCAGCTTGCGAGCCGTTCACTTATTACGTCTATGGGGAGGGGGGGGGAGGAGGTCAGCAAGAAAAGAACAATAGAAATTCCTGGAAATCAATTGTTTTTTCTTTTTTGAAAAATTACCGTTCATTTTGTACATCATAAGTGAACGACCCCTTGATAAATAGACCAAAAAGAACAGACCCAGTACATAATGAAAAGCTCAACAAACTCTAAATCATTCAAATTCTGTCCAATCTCATTCAACTATGCTTATTTATGTATTTTTAAAATAATATCAAGCATCATCATCTAAATCCATGTCATTACAGCAATACAAATTACATACATTCAGATGCTGTTGCATGCGAGCAATTAATGAATGTGATTATGATGAAAAAAGGTAATTTAGAGGAACAACAACAATATAAAGAGAGTGAGAGACTTACACCTAATATTCCGAGAATGACACGAGTTATGAATATCGGAATGACATTATCTTCCGCAAAATACGGTGTGATTCCAGTGATGAATGCACTTAAGAGCATTGAAAGTCCAACAACATGTCGTCCACCAAATCTCTCAGCTAATACACCACCGAATAAGGATGTTAATAGATAACCATAAAAGAATCCTCCAAGGATAAAGCTTTGATCTTTTTTACTCCATGCATAGCGTGGTCCATACTGTAAAATGAGTTTATAGTCCATGATAATTAATTATTTAAATATTTGTGACATACATCGTGTATTATTGCAGTTCTATTGGCACTTTCTCCTCCTCCTTCTTTTATCATCGGAATTATAGCAATTGAAATATTTGTTCTCGTCATGTAAGTTGTAAAACAGGCCATAAACAGCATTATTGCCACATTAAAACGTACAGGAATGTTCCCTAGAAGATTTATAACATTTTTTTTGTGAGTTACGAGTCTTTAATTCTGAGCCGCAACTGATTGACGCTAGAATCAATTTTTTAAAACAATTCTATGCGTGGTGCTAATTTAATGAAATTAGCTTAAAAATTGGCTTATTATACTGTCATGATCAGAAGTGAATTTTCTCTGATTGTTCTGTATTTGTTTTTGTTGTTTCAAATTCTAAAGGTATTCAATTAAAGCTTAACATTGATGTTCTAAAGGAGGTTTAAATTGAAATTTAGCAAATTAATTGGAAATTTATTTTGATGAGACTGATCTAATGATTTACAAACCTTAAAGATTTGTTGTGTGTGGATCAAAGTGGAATCTGATGTATTGAGCCCTAATCTACAAGATTAAATCCTGATCAAGATTTAGACAATATGTTAAAACCTTTTGAAGACGTAAGTTCGATTTCCAAAATAAGAAAAATAAGATTTTAAAAATTAATACGAGACGTAAATGGACGTAATATGGACGTAATTCTGACAAAGTTTGAATTTGATCTGAAAACTTGTTCCCGTCAGCTTTACACACACTCTGTGAGATCCTTAGATTGTTTTCGATTTAACAAGGATTTTCATAATGAACAAGATACTGGGGGTCCTCGATTTCAGTAGGTGTTTTGTTCCAGAAAAATCCTATTCAAATCGAATCAACTCAAATCGAGGACCCATAGTATTCTGTATTCTAGAACCAGAACCTGTAAACAAACTATCATTACTATCCGTACCCTTAAAGAAAACTCATTTTCTAGGAAGGAATGATTTGAAATACTGACGAATTTCCAATGCTGGGATTTGGAAGCTTTGTCAATACTTGAGTATCATAGAACTGCACCATCCAAGAACTTTAATTTCTGACTATTAAGATTCTAATTCGTTGAAATATTTTGATTTCGCAATTTTTAAACATTTTGATTTCCAATTTTTAAACATTTTATGAAACAAAAAAAAAATGTTGAGTAAGTTCCTCCCATTCATATGTCTTGTAATTCCTCAAACATTCAATTATTTAAATAGCTGGATGTACAGAACAACAAAATAAAAACTCATATCATCGATGTCAAAATAATATTTCAAGTTCAATTTTTCTTCTTCTTCTATTTATAGAAGGTATATTTTGTTTAAGGTTGCTGGAACTACCAGTTAATTAGCCATTAATTCAGTTATTTCTAGTTCCAACCAGATCATGACGATTTATTAGACAACAATGATTATTACCGAAATAATTAAGAGGTGAAATTTTATAAACCATTTTATTCTAGTTTCTTTAACTTTTATAGATTAATTTAATTATTTTTTTAAGTATTTATCACAGTCACTAAAGGAGTTTCTCTTAAATACACTAAAAATCACAAAAATTCATTTTTTCGGATCTTGAACTTTAAATTAAGTTACAGTTCAGTTTGAGCACTTTTAGGTAATTTTTAGCACCAGACACTTAATTATAATTTTTCACGATGATTTTCCCACAAGCTTCAATTCACAACTGATTCTGCTTTTGAACAATAATATCTGCTTTATACATTTCCATTTTTTTTTTTATCACAGGCAAAGTTTTTTACGTTTAAAGCAGCAGCAGCGAGGCGAGTAAGTGAGCGAACAGGAAAAAAAATGACAAGCAGGGTTGAAATATCAATTTAATAAGTTTGAAAGAGAGAGGCAGCAAGTGGTAATTTTGTGGCAAAAAATTGACTCGATTAACATTTCTTATAAAAGGAGTTCGTTTGTTTATGATGTCTAGTAGCGCAAGGAGTCTGGACAAGGTAGAAAGGACTTTAATTTTTGTACTTTCCATTCCTACTATTCCAGGTCTGATGTGAATTGAGGCTGCACCCCCCCCCCCCCTTATTTTTTAAAACAAACCTCATTTCTGTACGACCCCCAAACGTCTTCTCTCCAGGCACATTTTGAGTTAAAATTAATGCCAATTTTGAGATTCTCTCTTTTCTTTGCATTTGGAGTCATCAGACAAGAAGGAATGTTAAGAAAAGAACGGAATTAAAAAAATTAGCAAGTTTGGAAATTCTTTCGTCATAGTCCATGATTATATCGTGCATCTTTTTGGAAATATAATGATGCTCATAAATATTTTTTTGTAGCTATTTCGCGACATTATGTGACTTTGAAGTTTCATGTCTCATTATGACTGTTACCTTGTGCAGTTTACTGATCTCTAACTTGTGAATGTCCTACATTTGTAAAAGGAGTTTCTTCTTTATTTGCATTGTTGGTGTTAATTGGACTTGATTCAACAAACCTAATTCTGCAAATTCAAAGCATTTAAATGCCCAAATCCTTTCTTTTCAAAACAATCCTTCAAAGATTAAAAACATGATGAATTTCAAAATAAATTCTCAATAAATATTGACTGAGCAAATTCATCTGAACAAATAAAAATGTGCCAAAATATCGTCGTTTTTCATGTTTGTGAATTTCTGTTATATTATCTGAGTAAATAATTAATTGAATTAGCGAGTTATTGTGTCCGAATTACTCATAGCTAAGTCCATACATCACACCTGATTCAATGAATAAGGAAATTTCCAACAGATAAAGTTTGAACACGTTTCCAAAGATTATTTTTGTCAATAATTGCTTTTAAAGCTATCAAATATAGATTCAGACGTGACGAGCTTTGGAAGATTTTGAATTTTTATTCTATTGGATGAACCAGTTATTGAAAGCTATTTTGACTGTTGTGCATTTTATCAAGTAGAATCGCGATTTAAGTTTCTTGAACTTAAATACTTAAAGTTGTTAAGGAATTGATCAGTTCATGAGAAATTGAGAGTAGAATTTAACCGTTTAAATTCACATTTTTGAGAACCGATAAAATTCAAAATTTTAAAAACCGTTAAAATTCAAATTCTTGAAAACCATTGAAATTCAATTTTTTGAAAACCGTTAAAATCAAAATTTTGAAAACCGTTAAAATTCAAATTTGTGGGAACCGTTAAAATTGACATTTTTGAGAACCGTTAAAATCAAAATTTTGAAAACCGTTAAAATCAAAATTTTGAAAACCGTAAAAATCAAAATTTTGAAAACCGTTAAAATTCACATTTTTGAGAAACAATAAAGTTCAAAATTTTGAAAACCGTTAAAATTCAAATTCTTGAAAACCGTTGAGATTAAATTTTTTGAGAACCGTTTAAATCAAAATTTTGAAAACCGTAAAAATCAAAAATTTGAAAGCCGTTAAAATTCAAATTTGTGCGAACCGTTAAAATTCACATTTTTGAGAACCGTTAAAATCAAAATTTTGAAAACCGCTAAAATTCAAATTCTTGAAAACCGTTGAAATTCAATTTTTTAAGAACCGTTAAAATCAAAATTTTGAAATCCGTTAAAATTCAAATTTAAGCGAACCGTTAAAATTCACATTTTTGAGAACCGATAAAATTCAAAATTTTGAAAACTGTTAAAATTCAAATTCTTGAAACCTGTTGAAATTCAATTTTTTGAGAACCGTTAAAATCAAAATTTTGAAAACCGTTAAAATTCAAATTTGTGCGAACTGTTAAAATTCACATTTTTGAGAACCGATAAAATTCAAAATTTTGAAAGCCGTTAAAATTCAAATTTGTGCGAACCGTTAAAATTCACATTTTTGAGAACCGTTGCAGTCAAAATTTTGAGAACCGTTAAAATCAAAATTTTGAAAACCGTTAAAATTCACATTTTTGAGAACCGATAAAATTCAAAATTTTGAAAACCGTTAAAATTCAAATTTGTGCGAACTGTTAAAATTCACATTTTTGAGAACCGATAAAATTCAAAATTTTGAAAATCGTTAAAATTCAAATTCTTGAAACCTGTTGAAATTCAATTTTTTGAGAACCGTTAAAATCAAAATTTTGAAAACTGTTAAAATTCAAATTTGTGAGAACTGTTAAAATTCACATTTTTGAGAACCGATAAAATTCAAAATTTTGAAAACCGTTAAAATTCAAATTCTTAAAAACCGTTGAAATTTAATTTTCTGAGAACCGTTAAAATCAAAATTTTGAAAACCGTTAAAATTCAAATTTGTGCGAACTGTTAAAATTCACATTTTTGAGAACCGATAAAATTCAATATTTTGAAAACCGTTAAAATTCAAATTCTTGAAACCTGTTGAAATTCAATTTTTTGAGAACCGTTAAAATCAAAATTTTGACAACCGTAAAATTCAAATTTAAGCGAACCGTTAAAATTCACATTTTTGAGAACCGATAAAATTCAAAATTTTGAAAACCGTTAAAATTCAAATTCTTGAAACCTGTTGAAATTCAATTTTTTGAAAACCGTTAAAAATCAAAATTTTGAAAACCGTAAAATTTAAATTTGAGAGAACCGGTAAAATTCATATTTTTGAGAACCGATAAAATTCAAAATTTTGAAAACCGTTAAAATTCAAATTCTTAAAAACCGTTGAATTTAATTTTCTGAGAACCGTTAAAATCAAAATTTTGAAAACCGTTAAAATTCAAATTCTTGAAACCTGTTGAAATTCAAATTTTTGAAAACCGTTAAAAATCAAAATTTTGAAAACCGTTAAAATATAAATTTGTGAGAACCCTTAAAATTCAAATTCTTGAGAATCGTTAATATTTAAATTTGTGAGAACCGGTAAAAGTCACATTTTTGAGAACAGATAAAATTTAAATTTGTGAGAACCCTTAAAATTCAAATTCTTGAGAATCGTTGAAATTCAAATTTTTGAAAACCGTTAAAATTCAAATTCTTTAAGAACCGTTAAATTACCTCAATCTAGAAATCCCTGAAATGAAGCTTCCCTAAAATGCAGATAGTACTGCTAAAGTGCAGATGAAATTTATTTTCCCTAAAATGCAGATGAAATGCTGTTGCTTTAAAAAAGGTATAATGCAGATGATTTTTATTGTATAAAGCAGTATAAAGTGCAGATAAGATGCTTCCCAAATGAAGATCGTATAATTTTAATAAAATATATCATATTCCATGACTTTTTTTTTGATACGTGTTAATAAAAAAAAAAATCCATACAAATTTTCAATTTCAAGTGATTTAAAATCCCAAAAAAATCCCCATACAAAATGATTTAAATCATAAATCAAAAATAAATCACTTGGGTAAAATGATTTAAATCCCCTTCATGCTAATTACATCAAAATTTCGTGTAGCAAAGTAATTTAAAGTCATAAAGTTTGCAATGTATTCAAAAATACATTTTTGTTTTTCTGAACTTTTTTAATAACAAAACTAGTGTATCGGGTAGAAACCCTATGCAGATATATTCGCACCGTACCATCAGTTTTTTGAATTTTGTGAGGATATGGAGCAAGATAGCTTAAAATGTCGAAAGATGAAAAGTTTGTGCCTGAAATTTTACATCATTTTCAAAAAACAAATTTCAAATTGATTGAGGCATTGCTGAGAAAATCGCAAAATACGCTTTCTGTAAGCAAACAAGCAAGCAATTTAATCAGCAAGAAATCTCAATAACGAGACATCGTAGAGACTTCTGGTTTTTTTTCATTTGATCTGTGCTACTCTATAGAAGAGCTGTATAGTTTTTGGGCAAGGTAGGAACAGTCGTTGCTTCAGAAAAAGCAAAAAACTTTCCTTTCTCACGAATTTTTTAAAACAAAAGTTGACTGTGATTTTTAAGTTGACTTTATTTTTTGACTTTAAAGAATGCTCGTTAAGCTTTAAACCTCCAAACATATGCTGAGCACAGCTCAGCTGGTTCGTCAGGATTTATACTTTCAAATTAATACTGAGCTAAGCTTGGTCTTTCCACAAGACTTTTGATGGTACGGTGCGAATATATCTGCATAGGGTTTCTACCCGACACAAGTTTTGTTATTAAAAAAGTTCAGAAAAACAAAAATGTATTTTTGAATACATTGCAAACTTTATGACTTTAAATTACTTTGCTACACGAAATTTTGATGTAATTAGCATGAAGGGGATTTAACTCATTTTACCCAAGTGATTTATTTTTGATTTATGATTTAAATCATTTTGTATGGGGATTTTTTTGGGATTTTAAATCACTTGAAGTTGAAAATTTGTATGGATTTTTTTTTTATTAACACGTATCAAAAAAAACTCATGGAATATGATATATTTTATTAAAATTATACGATCTACATTTGGGCAGCATCTTATCTGCACTTTATGCGATAAAAATCATCTGCATTATACCTTTTTTAAATCAACAGCATTTCATCTGCATTTTAGGGAAAATAAATTTCATCTGCACTTTAGCAGTACCATCTGCATCTTAGCAGTACTATCTGCATATTAGGGTAGCTGCATTTTAGGGATTTTTAGATTGAGGTCGTTAAATTATAAAAATATTCAAATTAAATGAATGGTGCAAGAAAAATCATTCAGTTCATCAATCAAAAACAGTTCAATATTAGTATAGAATGCTCTCTTTTATTAAAATACTTAATAAACCTTTATATCATAGAATAAACTTTACAAATTGTTTCTCACTTCCATATCCCAAAAAAATGATGCTGTTTGGTCAGTCACATTTTAGTAACGCAGATAAAACAGCATATAATTTAGGATATAAAATGAAATGTGAATAAGAAATATATTTTTATTATAGTCAAGTGGATTCTCGCAACAGACAGTTTTCTTCATACTTTGACATTAAATAAATTACAACAACTTTTTTTTTGTGGATAATTTTTCATAATTTTTTTAAAATTGTAATAAATTATTTGGAAACAAAAATTAGACCACAGATTCCCAATAAAAGAACTTGGTACGTTAAATTTTTCACTATCGAATGATTATTTTGCCATACTATTTAATTTAATTTAATTATGGTTTAGTAAACAGCTCCGATCCTGACGAATCATTGAAATAAGACGATGACTGAAAGAAGTTTGAATTTCCTGTAGAATTATTTGCATTATTGCTATCTAAATGAAGCGTGAGGTTATAAGGATTTTGCTTATATTCATTATAAATTTCACCCAAGTCGGGTACTCTCTGTTGTTCAGCATGTGGAACTGGTGTAAAGCTTTTAATGATATTAACTGGAACGTGACTAAAGCTCTTCATTCCTGGATAAGGATTAAAATTAAGCATGTGACTATCAGGAATTTTCGGTGGATTAGAATTGTTTAATTGATGCTCAGTTGGACCTCCTTGAATGACAAGTTCAATGCTTGATGTTTCTGAGAATCTTTCCATTTGATCATCATGTTGCTGTGAAGTTAGGTATGGATAGTTATTAATGTCTTCAGTTTCTGTTGTTTCCTCTGAATTTTTCATGTATGTCTCATATGACTGTGGCTGTATTGATTAGAATTATTAGAAAATGTTGCTTAATATCCTTGACATGACTTACCATTGAAGATTCATTCTTTTGTGACATTTCCAGTGCATAATCCTCGACGATTCTTGACAAAACTGGTGTCTCATCTTGCTTCTTAATATTATGTTCGGTTAATTCCTCAATGACAGCATTTTCTGGAATCTTTGAAGCAGCAACAGCTTCCTCTGGTTGGACTTCTGGTAAGCTTTGTTGATTATTGGTATCTACTGTCAGATTTGATGCTTCTATTTCTTTTGGAACAAAATCTTTTTGTTCTGTTGATGGTGAAATCAGTGGGGACGGTATTATCCTTGCTGATACGTTCAGCATTGGATTATCTTGGGATTGAAGTAAATAAAAAGTCCGTTAAATAACGTATTAAAAATTCAAATACTCGTTGAAATTCAAAAACTTTTGTACGGTTTAGCAAAAATTCTAAACATTTGTAAAGTTTTAAAAAAATTCAAAAACATTTGTGCGGTTCTAATTTCAAATTAAACCGTTAAAAATTGAATCAACTCACCATTGTCCTTAAAAAGCTCCTCTCTGAGGCTTGGCAAGAAAGTTCCAATCCGATTCCAACTCATTTCCCATAAAACAGAATAAGTCACGCCATCAGGATTATGGAAAGCCTTAACGGAGTACATAACAAGCAGCATATTCTTTAAACTTTCAAGAACAGCTTCATAAAGCATGTCAGTTCCAAGTTTCATGAATTTCTCTAAATATAAAATAATTTCAAGCCACAATTCGTTGAATTCAGGCAGTGTCATTAATGGTGTTAAATGATGGAGAAAGACTTTTGACATAATTGTAGAAATTCTAATCCTTGATTCCTCAATCAATGACGGTTCCGTACCATTATTTTCATAAGTTTCATTCAACAAAAAAATCATAAGTGGAAATAGAACTTGTCGGAAACATCCAGCCCATTCTGGTCCACTTAAAGTTTGTAAATCATGCATAAGAAGTGATCGTTGCAAGCAAGTCACAGCACTTGTCCTTACTTGACGTCTATGATCCGTTGAAATTCGTCCAATTCCTTGCAACAATGGACACCATCCTTGAGACCATAATGCTGAACATTGAGGCATCGATCCACTTTCTTCAGCCCACCAACGGAATATTTGAGCTATTCTTGAATACAGCGTATGCATCAAGTCCAATAATTGTATGGAAATCGTCTCATAACGTTCTGGAACTTCATTGTTCTGTTGATCATCACCAAGGTCCTTAATATACTCAGAACTCTTTACTTTTCTTGCTTGATTCTTTTTATTATTTGCTGCTGTTGCTTGCTTGCTTTTTAAGCTTTTCTTTGTTGCACCATGAACCATCGATGCTTCCACAAATGTCCTAATACATTTAACACAAATTTCAAAGTTGTAAGGCGTAATGTGAGCAACATTACGGACAATAAACGCCAAACTATCCCAACATTTAACTAATGCAACTGGTTGATGAGGCATTAATGTACATGGATAATAAATGTTTGATGCAGCATTGACTTTTTCACTATTTTTCTGATCATCAGCTTGCTCCTTATTGACAATAATCCAATTCTCACCATTAAGTGGTGTCACTGGCGATGAATTTTTCAATATTTCAGAATCACTTGTATAGCCTCGATCTGATACTTCTGTTTCTTCCTCACTACTTAAAGCACCATCAGATTTTGTACCAGCACCGACTGTATCACTATTTGATTCTGACGATATTGACGAAATTGATCCAGCACCGACACATTCGAGGATATTAAAGACAATTGACCAATCGTTTTCTGTGTGGATATTTTGTGCTGATGTCTTTAACAATTCATACATTCCAATGGACACTGGAATCGCTATGTGCTGTAGAACTTTCGGTTTTAATTTCAAGAATATTCGCATGCTCTGCAAAATAGTCGATGCCAGTTCTTCATTGCGCATTAAATAGATTCCTAATTTGAGTAATGCAATTGTTGATCGTTTTAATAAATTCTCATATCCACATGAAGCACTGCTGCTTATTAATGAATTAAATGTTTCACTACATTTTGGCCAGAATGGCAGGACACGATCGCGATTTTGGATTAGAATTTTAGTCAAAAGTTCAAGATAAAAAATAATTAAATTCTCTTCGTACGAGACACCGATTGACTTGTGACTTGTCGGTGGCTTAATTAACGTCTCAAGATATGATATAATTTCAGCTAACGAGTCAGGATGTAGAAATTTAGATTCGACAATCATTTGATCAATTTGACAATCTTTGATGCATTTACGTGCCAATTTTAGTATTTCTTGTTCCTCATACGAAGGCTGACGTTGACTTTCGGAACTTAGATATAAATACAAGCTGCTTAATAAGCTAGCTTCTGATTTTTGAACTGGAACTGGTTCGTATTGTAAAATAATCTTATTACTCTCCTCACAGAAATCCTCAACTTCAACAAATGACTTTGGCAAAAGTTTCATTTTATACATCTGGACAAGCAAGTCAATGACATGCTTCCAACTTTCTCGCATCGAATCACCATAATCATGAAGAAATTTAAATATTGATTTCATTGCCGTTCTAGCCTTTGAATTACTACCGAATTGGACACTAACAATCAGTTCGTTTGTTTCGCTGGTATTGTAAAGTGTCGTGAATTTGCAAAGTGTTAAAATTATTGCATCGAATTCTTGGTGGAGACTATAATGTGAACAAATTGCAGCCGAGTGCATAAATCCTTCAATAATTTTCTTAACGACTGCAATTTCTGACACTTTATCAAAAAGTGACCCAAAAGCCGTTAATGTTGATCCCCAAGTTACTTGGAAAAGTTGTTTGTCATAATTTGAGTCTAAAACGTGCGTAAATTCTCCATCCTTGCCTTCACCGCGACGAAGCAGCACTTTCCATGTATAGTTTTCTTTTACAATTCCAGTTTGTTCTGCTGGCATTATAATTTCTTCATTTCTGAAAGTATTAAATATAAAGTTTAACGGTTATTTTAAATTTAAATTTTCAACAGATTTTTGAAATTTGAATGAACTGAACAAAACTGAACTTAGTCTACTGAACGTTTTTTGACCCAATTCAAATTTCAAAATCCGTTAAAAGTAGAACTTACTTAATGGAATTAAATATTTCAGTTAACATTTCAGGGTCAAAATCAAGATTTCCATTTAATCCACGCAAATTCTTAGTAAAGTCTTCAGCAGTCATGGGAATATTCAGTTTCTTTGCATTATGATTATGTTGATCCATATTTAACATAATTATAGCATAAGCAAGTCTAAATGCCGCATCAGTATTTGCGAATGGTTCATTATTGCACTTGTGCCAATGGTCTGCGAAATGTTCCATAACGAGGAAAATTAATGGAGCCTCGCCAGGCAATCTAAAGGTTTCCAAATATAAACGAAGTGCTTTATCGATTCTCATTGACGTAAAATCAAAGGACTTGACAAATACTTCCAATATCCTGTTTTCAACATTCTTCTTCTTACTGATATATCCACCAATCATTTTCTTATCAAGTCCTGGTGATTCTCGAAGGAAATGAGCTATTTCTAGTGGATCCATAGTCGTATTTAACGTCCCATTCTCTTGAAGGAACTGAATGCCTTTCTCAGGACGTTGATTGAATAAATCTGTTCCTTGCGATAAGATTCTCTTCTTATTTTTTAATTCATTCATTTTATTTTCAGTAAGCAGTTCTCCGATTTTTAATTTACCCGCAAATCTATTGTACATCGTGTTATACTGTATGAATGTGTCCATATTCTTAATAAAAACAGCACCATCGACTGATGAATCATCATTATTAAACATATCGGAACGTGCTGTTGAGTTATTTCTGGAATGACGTTTGTACGACACTTGATTGCCTTTTTTAAAGGATATACAGTTCTTGTCAATTGAAGAAATAATCGTAAAGAGTGCATCGAGTGACAAAAGTTGTGTTCCATAAATTGTCGGACCTGCTGTTGCTAATAAAGCATTCTTGGACAGTAATTTGGTGATATTTTCAAAGATATTTGCACAATACAAGTCACAATCATAATTGATGTAAAGTTCAGCAGCAAAACCAGGACATCTAAGTAATTGCAATAAATTATCTAATGCTAATTCACGTATTTCATAAGTCACGCGAGCATTCTCACTTCCAATTATGTCAGTTAATTTAATTAAATAGTGTTCTAATTGAAATTTAAGGTGGAATCTTAATGACTCGAAAAGTAGGAAGCAAACTTGAAGATTTGCAGCAAAAATATGAATACGCTCTGAATTGAGTAATTGGAATAGATTCTTACACAATTCATCTTTGACTAATGTTGTTAATGAGTAGAAACTTCCAATATTATCTGATGCTACTTCCATAACGACAGTCAATAAGTTCAATGCAATGTGAATGATGTTGTCTGTATTTTGGGAATCGAGTGGATTGCATAAAGAGATTAGGAACCGAAATAATTCACGGATGCATGGAATGGCATATGGAACATATGAATCAACTTCTGTATTAAATCTTGTAATGCTAGAATTTAAGCTTGATGTATTTAATTCCTCTTTGAACGAGTCTGACAGATTTTGTTGGTCATCTAGTGAAGTAATTTCCTGCTGTGCATTATCGGCTTGTTCCTCTTGATTAGCAATCAATTGATCATGTTCATTTGTCTCTTGTGCTTTAACTTCTTCGTTTTGCTCGGTGTCTAATTTTGCTAAACTTGATGTTGATTGGATTTTGTCATTTAAATCATTTATTGATTTAGCTTTGGGATTCTTGATGCTAACTTCCGGACGTATCTTCAGATGCTTGATATTGAATGTACTTAAATCCTCAACAAATTGTGGAAGTCTCATAAATAATAGTAAAATCATGTCCTTTAAAGCTTGCTCAGCTGTTCGTCTCAGCAATTCTAAAAATTCACAATATTATTAAGTGCTGGATATAATTTTAAGAGCACATACCATTCAGCCTAGTCTCAAAACATATTCGGAAACAGCTTAGAATAATTTCACAGACACTTTCATTGGACAAAGCGCTTCCTTCGGGCGATAACATTAAAGTTCTCAAAACTTGTACAATTTTAAGAAGAACAACTCCATCTGAATTATTATCACTTCCCACGAATCTTGCATGAGTTACAGCATCAGCGATATTTTGGACAATAACTGGTAAGTTTGAGTTTGTTGGATCTATTATCAGAGACATTTTAATGTAACATATTGTAATGAATTATCAATGAATAAAAACATTACCAATTAATCCATAAGACAGAAACTTATTAATAGCAGATAAGGCGATGCTTGTAACAGATCCAGTGGTCTCTTCTGATCGAATCGCTTCCAAAAATGGTGAGAGAAAAGTTTCTGGCGTAATTAATTTTAAATCCTCAATATTCAGCACTGATTCTTTTAATTCATTAAATGACTTGGATAAAGTGTCAGAATTGTCATACTGTAAATCATAATAAATTAATTAAATAACGTTATTCATGCAAATTTATGTTTAATATTTTGATTACTTGATAGTTCCACGAATTCCTTGAAGTTCTACGCATAGCAGTCATAATTGCAGATACTTCACCTCGAACCACAAAGCACCCATTACCAGGAATACTCATGATTCCAGTTTAATTTCTATAAACTTCCTTAAATTAATTAATTTTAATTTTTTATTTTTTTTTCCACGAATCAGTTTTTGAGCTGAATAAGTCGACGTCATTCGAAGCAATTTGAAAATAAAAATGCCGTTAATAATTTGAAATATCTTTAACTTTATTTAACTGTAGAAATAATAATAGTAATATTCATTAACCATCTTCTGAATACATTGGAACATCCTCGTCTTCGCTAAGCCACCGAAAATTGTTCTCAATAATAGGTTTGATGTCGTCAGGCTCTAGTTTTTCCATCTTAATCGTCGGTTCAAAGGAATTTACCTTATTATCTACAGGCATTTTAGTGCTTTTAAGTCGTTCCAACGTCGCAAGATATTCATTTCTATGTGCAGATATTTTGTTTTTGACGAATTTCTCTAGCGCTACCATATCCACACTTTTAGCGAAGATTGTATTGGATAGAGAATTGACCAACTTCCCATAAAGCACACGTACTCGCTGTAATGACTTAAAATATTCACATTCACTTGATTCATTCGAATCTGGCGGTACTTCATACTGGAACTGTCCCATGAGTTTTGGATCGATTATAGAATTGAGCGTATTATTAAGTAAAATTGAAGGCTTATCGATATCCGACTTGTTATTAACATTATATAGCTTTTGAAAGACATACTCTGAAAATTCCTTTTTACTCAGATCTAGCTCCAGCTGCTTTATAATTGGTAATCTACTAATTGGAAAGATAGGCACTCTACAGACGATATTGCCTTTAGCTGTAACGTTATTGCCTTTTCTTGGTAACACTTTAAACTGCTTCCTTTGCATTAATCCTGACTGCGTTGGTGGACTTTGCATTTGATGCTGTTGTGCTTGTATTTGTTGTGATTGTTGAGGACTAATGAGTAATTGAGGAGCTGATACAGCGACTATAGGCTGTTTTAAGCCAGATAATGGACGCTTAGAATTACATTTAGCTACTGTAGCATTTATTAAATTTGTCAACTTATGCGTTCTCATCTGTATCGCGACTGCTTCTTTTCTACATTCCATTAACACTTTCTTCATTTCTTTATTTTCATCTTCCAATTGCTTAATGTAGGCTTCCAACACTGGCGGAACTGTATAATTAATTGTAGGCTTAACAACTGGTTCTGGAAAAGGTCCTTTAATTATATTAGATCCATTTGTAGCTATTACTCTCGTCATTTGTGGATGTTTAATATTTGTTGGTGCATTTGGAACTTTCCGTACGACTATATGCTTGGATAATATTTGTTGTGGATGCTGTTTTGATACCAAGACATTATTTTTTGGAGATTGAGGTGGCGGTGATTGATTTATCTCAGATATTGTTCTTATTTTAATTGTTGATTCTTCTATCGGCTCTTTTTCTTGCTTTATCTCTTGCAGGCTTTGAATGTTTGATATTTTAATTGATGTTTCAAGTTTCTGGTCCATATTTTGTCACTTTTAACACTTTACTGTATCTTTATTCACTCATTTAGGCGATTTATTGGCAGGTAAGTTAAGAAATTCACTGTGAAATTAATTAAAATAGACTTTTTTTTATGTAAATTTGATTTTGAAAGTTGTTTTGGTTGTTACAGGGATGGAATCTTGAAGTTTTGGTTGACTGTTACTGAATGTTACTTCCGATTTAATGGGACGCTTGATTTGTAAAGAATTGATGTGAATTATCTGTGCGCTTATACTGTGCTAGTTCATATGGAACTAGTATGAATGTCCAGCACAAAAGGACCAACTCTGGATGATTTCAAAAAGATTAAAAAATTCAAAATCTTTCAAAATCATTTTTTGAGATGTTTCAAAAAAAACAAATATTCAAACTTTTTTGAGCCGTTGGAAAAAAGCTTTCATTGAAAGCTTACAAAAGAAGATTCTGAGAAGGCAGTAAAAATGTATTATGTTTTAAATTATTTTCATATTCATTTTTATTATTTACTGTTATTATTTCAACTCACCTAAATTCTTTGGATGTTTTATTGTTTTTCTATATTTTCATTCTCATTATTCATTTGATTAAAAAGTTCTTATTCAACAAAATAAAATTAAATAAAATTTAAACGATTTTTTTTTTATCTGGCCCTTATTTACAATTGTAGTCATATCATTCTTCATTTCATATAAAATTATATCTTCTTTATAGTTTTTTTTAAACATTTTTTGAACATCAGGTCGTTAGAAAAAAATCACACAATGTTCTCTAATATTATCCATGTTAAGAGAATCTAGTAAAACATTTCTAGTGATGAAAATTAGACTTAAAACAAAGAACAAAAAAAATGTTTAAAAATTAAATTATTTACAACAAATAAGTAGATTATCATCTCTCGAAACTAAGAGCAAACATTTTTTTAAGGCAAACTACATATTTTTTCCAAACTTATCATACTTCTTTTTAGACATCTCAAATGAGTTGATTGGTAACCAGTGTTGCAAATGTAGATGTCTACACTAGATGAAGAATGTAGATTCTTCAATAGTTTTTGTCTAGCTAAGAAACTTTCTTCATAAAGATCGATTCTACATGTAGAAAGAAAAAAACCATCTACATGTAGATTGTGTCTACATGTAGAATCTGTCTACATGTAGATTCGATGTAGATGTCTGTAATTCTACATTTTTTCCAGGTCTACATCAGAGAAGAATGTAGAATCGTAGACATCTACATTAAATCTACATGTAGACAGATTCTACATGTAGACACAATCTACATGTAGATGGTTTTTTTCTTTCTACATGTAGAATCGATTTTATGAAGAAATTTCTGTCTCAGAATTTATCTGATCCAGACAAATAGCCAGAATGCAACACTGTTGGTAACTATTAAATTGTAATTTACTTTTTTTGATGTGTTCATTTTGAAAATTAAAAACCTTTAATTGACGAATAGTAAAGATAGGAAGGAAGTTAATGCGCTTTATGGCTGGTACAAAATACATTTATTCGAATGTGAGATGGCCGTGTGCTGACCAGGACCTTCCTGTTGTTATTTATTGTTTTATTATTTTTTCGCAACCAGTCACAAGAAAAAGGATGTAAAAAGAATTGTATCAAACTTTGACTAGCGTGAAAATTGGTTTTTCCCCATTTCTTTTTGTGTGTATGTATATTATTTAGGAAGATATGTTGATGTAAGCATAGAAAGGATGCAGATTGACCAAATTTGGCGTTCTAATTTTTAATCTCATTAAAATTAACGGTTATTTTTAAATTTTTTCTTGACTGTTTTTCAAATATTTTTTCAGTCGTTGAATTTTCTAATCTAATATTAATAAAAATGTTCATTCTATTTTAGGAAAATGCGCTTTAGCTATCACAAATTACCTCAAAAACTAGTTTAAATTCTAAGATCACGAAAAAGTCAAAATTTAACATATATTTAACATTATGGCTCCACAAAAACATCAATCAGCGCACTTTCTATCCTTACATCCACATTTCATGATGATTTTCAATGCAAAATTTTGCAAAAAGACAAACAAACAATTATAAAAATGCTAAATTCTCATTGAACAAGAATCTAAATTTATGAGTACAATATTTGAATTTGCAATTAGAATCGGAAGGAGTTATTGAACTTTGGTTGGATCAAAAAAATGGAAAAAATACTCATAATAAATGTTTTCTCTCTTTTCATCTTTAATTTGTAAAAAAAAAAATTGTGAATAATTTAAAGCTGAACCTCCTTTTCATCATCAATGACTAAAGGAAATAGTGTAACTGAGTAGCGTCTTCGTTCATCGTCATCCACCTCCTCGTTACTATTATTGTAATTACTTGAAGTCGGACCTAAAATATAGCAATAAAGTCAATTAAATATTAAAGTTTGTATTAATTTAGGAGTCTGTTTACTTATGAGGTCTAAAAAAGGACACTAAACCCCCCGTCATAAACGTCATAAGTCAATAGAGTCCTTAAAAGATGTCAATAAATGCACACAAATTTTGAAACTATTGAAAAGCTACAAAATGTATCAATCAAATGTTAATGGAACTAAAATGAATCAAATTTTGATAATTACTTTTGCTTAAACTTAAATGTAAAAACAGCAAAAAATCAATCAATCAATAGGGACGTGTATCCAACATATCAAAAGTTATATCACTGTCGTAAACATTAATTTTATCGTCAGTTTCTGCAAAAATTAATAAAAACAGAATGAATTTCTCTCCCACACACCACAATTCATTAAAAAATAAAATGAAATAAGAATAAGTTAAGAACATTCTCATGCTAAATTGATAGCAGCAAAGAAGATAATATAATAAAATAAAGAGAGAACTAAAAAAGAAAAGAAAAAAAACAGAAACAAAAGGAATTTTTACTTTTCATCTCACCAACAATTGACGTCCGCTTAGTATGCTCAATGCCGTGATCGTCTTTTATAAAAATAGCTACAAGTATAGCAACGACTACCATCAATGAGCCCAATACGAATGGCGGGCCAGGCATGAATTGTGTGAGATAATTATTATCATGAAACTCGTGCCTCATATTTGTCAAATAATCATTGTGATGAAAGCTATCCGTTAAGTTAAACTTGATGTCATTGAAATTTATATTACTATTCACATTCTTTGATTCGTCGTTCAGGTCCACATTAAATAAATAGAAAATCACTCCGAACATTGCCGGTCCAAGACCGTTGCCTGCAAAAACACACGAATTAATCAATGACAATATTCGAATTGACTTTGAATTCCTTACATAAGCCACGCATTCCAGTCACCATCCCTTGGACGACACCTTGCTCATCAATATGAGTATGTATGGACACAAATGCTGAAATCGCAGGGTAAGTTATGCTTGCGAGTGCAGCCAAAATTCCTGCTCCCCACATCATCCATGTCTGCGTTCCTATTCCAAACCACAACTGTAGGATATATTGTTAGATTAGAAATAAATTCACAGGATTAAATGATGGATTAAAATAAATCCGAGATCATAACTCACCAACTGCATGAATTCAAATGTCAATCCAATAATTATAGTCCTTTTAGCACCAAGAACTCTCATCAAGTCACCCAAAAACATCTGAGCCACAATACTTAAAACGCCTACGACCGCAATAAAAATTGAAACATCTAACGAACTAAAGTGCATCTTCAATTTGAGATAAACGAAAATACAGGAATACTGTCCAGCTTCAGGTAGATAAGAAAGTAAAACAGTTAGACATTGCATCATAACTGTATGATTCATGCCAACTCTCCGTAGAGCTATGAAGGGATCGGCTTGCTCCCAATTAATTGGTGCGCCATTCCAAGTTTTCGGTCGTACTTTTTCTGGGAGGGATTCAGGAACGGCTACTAAGATGAAAAATACATCTAACACTGCTACTGCCGTGGCTAATGCGACAACTAACGACTCTGAATATGTATCATTTAAATAGGCTCCTAATGCGGGTGATATTACCTGTTAAAGCGCAGAGAGGAAGACAACAGGAAATTAAATTATGGCAATTATCATTAATTCACAAATCAAATTAATTCTAGACTTTAGCGCATTTCAAATGTCGATGGTCTTATGACATTATTCACATTGACTAGCTAATTTGTGGAGCAGCTCCTTTAAAAATTCAACAGCCTTACATCAAATAGAAACCTTATATAAAATATTGGTTCAAAAAAATGTGAGAACCCCCCTCCAAATAAATAAAGCCTTAGCTTGAACGAGCACTTAATTAATTCCGACTAAAACGCGCTTCAGCTATTAGACAGAGTTTATGGCTAGATTTATCCATAAATAATTCACGTGACACGATCAAAATTGATGTCATTACTTACCAAACTAGCAGCAAATGTTGCTGAAACTAATCCATATGCTCGTGACCTTTCTTGAACGGTTGTAACGTCCGCAACATAGGCAAAAACAACAGAGAATGTTACGGCAAAGACGCCACTTATTGAGATCATTGCAAAGAACCACCTGAGCAAACATAAAAAAGAAATATACAGAGGACGTGTAAAATTTCGTAAGTTGATGATAATAATTAAAGAAAAATATAATTCTTACCATGAATTTATTGACATTAGTGGTATAGGAGCACATGTGAAGAAAACGGTAATTAGTAGAAAAAATTTTCTTCCCCAAACGTCTGATAATGCGCCGATAAGTGGCGCTGATAGAAATGAGAAAATGCCTTTAATGCCCATCACTAAGCCATTCATCAAAAATGTGTGATCGGGGAATGTTTTGTTGAGCACATTGATGATGGGCATCGTCAGCAGTCCCCATGAGAAATATTCTAAAAATATCACTACTAATGCATGGTATACTGAGGGCTCTCCAATGCCAGAACTCTAAAATAATACATGGAAAGATTAAAAGAAATTGATTTTTAATATTAAAAAATTATGCAATATATCCAATAAATAATTCTATGGTATTATACATATTGACGTCACATTTAAACTACAAGACACATACTAATAATTAGCACATTATTAATCAAAAATTATAAACATTCTAAAGAGACTTTTTTTATAGACAGGAAAGTTATTTAAAAAGCATTTAAAATACACAAAATGTAAGGATAGGGAGTCATTCATGAGATTAAATTAGTTTAAATAGAAAATAAATAAAATCAGTTTTCAAAATCGTTTTAATTATTCAAGCTTTAATCACTATTTTGGGGGTTTATTAATTGGCTAAAAAGCTTGCAAGCTTTAGTTCATTTCATTTCAGTTCATTAGTTCAATTCTGTTCAGTTTATTATATTATTTCTATTCACTTCATCTCACTTGAGCTCACTAGTTCATCTCAGTTCAGTTCATTTTTCAAAATAAAAAGCCGTTACATTTTGAATCTCAAAAAAGCGTTAAATTTCAAATTTTAAAGAACCGTTAAATTTTGAAAAAGAAAATTTAAGTTTCAAATTGTAAATCATCAAAAAAATAATATAAAATGTAAGCAAAATAAGCACGCGGATTATTCACGTTTGAGGATAAATAAACACAATGGTCTGGCGAAAAATCAATTATCACGCTACTTTGGAATTCAAAACTGTATCTAGAGCTTGCAAAAAATAAAGTAAACATAAGCGTCGCACACAAAAAGCTTTTCAAACACTGATTTTTTTAAAAAAAAAAACAAAATAAAAATGTAAAAATCATAGATTAATAATTTTGTTGATTTTTTGTTTCTAGGTATTGACCTTGCACAGAAATAAGAGCTTATTGTTTCGTTGTAGATTTTTAAATCGTATTGCAGTCGGTGTCGATAAAGTTTGATTTGTTGTTGCCATTGATGTAAAGGAGATGGCTTTAGCCAATGGAGCCAATTTTGTCGTTAATCCATTTTGTGGAAGCACTTGCGAATGAAATCGATTTGAAATCATCTGCATTGATGGCATTTTAAATTTTAAGTTTGATGAAAAAGAGTCGAGAACGTGAGGATTTGATCGCGATATTCGCAAGCTATTTGATTTGGCAAGCGAATCATTATTAATATTGCTATTATTTGTGTTAATGTTATTATTGCTACTACTTATTGTTCTTGTTGTGTGAGTCCACGAAAGATTCTTTTTCAATAACAATTTCTTGTGATCACAGCTTTGAGACTTATCACCAATTTGACGATCGTCCAATAAATCCATAATTTTACTTAAATTACTTTTTATTTGCTTTTAGCACTTTAGATTTGACTTATTGCCTTGCTGTTTTTTTTTTTTTTTTTTGTATAAAATTTCTATTAATTTCGATAAATTTTGTTCTGAGTCTGAGAGTCTGTGTGCCTCGCTTTTTTTCTACTTATCGAGCTTCATATGTAAAGAAGAAGAAAAATTCTGTCTGATAATTGAGTGTGTTTGAGACTGGGGCGCGCACTTAATTCTACAAAAAGATGAATAATTTTCATACAAACAAGAGATAAATTATTTTTTGATAATAAAAAAGAGTAGAAAGAAAATTATAGTGTGTGACTACACATTTACTAAGCAATTAAAAGTGAAGAATTTAAAGGAATAAAAAAAAAGATAAAAGAAGTTATGAGTGATAACGACTTATGAATGTCCAAAATGAAGCAATGATCGTCGCACAACAATTAGAACCGAACTATGATTAATAATGACAGAGGCCATACGAAATTTTTTTTATTATTATTTCGTTAATTTCGCTCTTGAACTTTTCATAACTCAGAGTTGTATAATATTTATTACCGGCAATTTAGCAGGTGCCATCATATTCTCACTATCAGTTTTTAATTCACAAAACTTTCTATAATAACCACTATAAATAGTCATCAGAAAGAACTGAGAAGAAATCAATTAGAAATGCAACTGTCAAAATAAACTGTCTTCAACTGTCTTAGCTTAACATTTTAATCCATGAAATTTAAACTGAAAATCCCTGAATTTATATAAATGCCACTTGTTCGATATTATCAGCAGTTAACAAGGCCAACATTAAACAAGTAAAACGAATGAATTTTCGATCAAAACTATAACTGATTATTTAATAAACATTATCAACTAGTTGCCAGCAGTTTTATCCAACCCGAATTCTTTATAAATTTGGGATGACGTTGCGGAAAAACTACGTCAAAAAAGCCAGTAGTCAGGTGGAAAAGAATGTAGCGATAAAGCTTATTGAAGCCCAACAAGCTAAACGTTTTGTACAAAATAATAATAATAATATATAGACAGTTTGTATGCAGTACCTTAGTGAATAAATTATTCAGATAAATATTGAATTTCACAGCTTTTCTTTTACACATTATAAAGCAGGCACAACAACACACACACACCGGACATAATATCTTCTCTATTTCGGCTTATTTATTATAAAACTTTCTTGACCTTGTGCACATCAAAGCTAAGTTTTTATGTCGCTACTTATAAACAAATTGATTGAAAACAATTTAATACAGTCAGGAATGAAATGAGAAGGAAATTAATAAATGTTAGATATTGTATCGAAGATGTGCGACTCGCGACTGACTAGTCTAGCGCGTAAGAAGCACCAATTCTCATATATCAAAATTATTGAGTAATCAAAGCTTTTCTCTCTCATCGACTGTGAACGTAAAAATTAATGCAAATTGATATTAATGAATTTTCATTTGATTAAATAAGTGCTAAAAACAACATATTGTCGTGTAATGTAGTAGAAAAAAAAAGTCAAACAATACTCTCTCATGTTTTTCCGAGTGACTCACAATGACGCCATCGCATAATAAATTACAAATTAATTCGTAATGTTGAAATTTTCCCTGTACTCAAAATTGATAAGAAGGTTGATAACATGACACACTCTTAATTTCGATTGTACACGTCTCGATTGAGTAATAATATGATTTTTACAATGTATGAATATGCAGTCTCTATGCTTCCTTTCAAAAAATCGACTTTTGAGTCGCGGCAATCAACAATTTTTTTGGGTAGATTCCGACATTGAACTGAAGATTTTTTTTGCGAAATGCCATCACAATTTAAATTGTGAGACAATAATAATTTGAAGATCACGGCCTTAATTTGAATTTGAATATCATCGCGAATGCTGTACCAACATAAAGATGGAATTCAAGGTCAAAAAAGGTAACTGACACTAAATATGCAACTATCGGAACTGATTGAGAACTTAGTCGAGCATACATTTCATGTTTTGATGCCATTTTCAGTTAACCCAAATCAAAAGTTCTTTTAATTGTCGGTACGGAAAAGGCAGGCAGTAAAGGAATTCAAGGTTATTGATTTTTCCCATTTCTCTTCTATCTACTACGCGGAACATCATGGCAACAGAAAATTATTAATGTGCGGTATAAAGATAATAAAATAAATAATATAATATAATACATCCAGCAATAAAAATAAGAAGAAATATGGCCCGAAAAATGAATGAATTTACATGTAAAATGCTATTATTGAGGATATTTTTTCATAACGAAAGTTATTGATTTTTCACAAGTGGGATAAAAAGAAGACGAGAGAAGGAGCTTGAGTATGGATGTATGAGATGACTAAGTGACTGAATTCTAGACAAATGACTAATTCTATGCGATTGCAGTACATAAAATAACTTAATTAGACATATAAACTCACCGTCAATAGTGACCTATCTATAGTTTTTTGCATAGATAGTATTTGATTTGTCTTTAACTTTATTTGTGTCTGCCTTGGAATCTTTTTGATATTAATTTTTGGCATTGCGTTTTTTTCTTCACACTCAGATTTTTCATAAAGCTCCAAATTATATCTTATCAATTACTTCACTCCTTTATTAATCATTTTCATTAGATTAGACATCTCATTAAACACTCGTAATACACGTAAATTAAAAAAATTATTGTTTTTTTCTCTCTAAAACAATCGCACAGCTTTTTCACAAAATTCTGATCTTCTTTTCAATTTGATCCGCAAGAAAAGTACTCAATAATTTTGAAAAAAAAAAATTATTACTTCAATTAATCTTTGTTTGTTTTCAATGCTTGCCTATTAATTGTTTTTTAAGCATATTTAAACATATATTTACTATTTTTATCCTGTGTCATTTGCGATTAATATCAAAGATTCAACTTTTATAAAATTTGTCAAAAATAACGATTGTTTTTTAAAATTTAAAGTGTTTTTCAAAATTCAACGAACGAAAAACAATAATAAGGAACAATTTGACAGTATGTATCTATTTGCGTCCATATTCACACCTTGATTCCTTTGCATAGCTATCACAGATACTTTTCCTAAAATTGTTGAATTTATAAGCAAAAGCAATGAGTTTTCTTTTACGATATTTGAAGTTTTGACTTGTTGTTGATATTTGTTGCTTATTTCAGATATAGTACCTAATGCTTACATAAAATACTGTTCAAGTAATAAAAATAAGCAATTTAAACTTGAATCATCTGACTTAATATACTCAAAAATTCAATTTAAATCTGTGTGGTGAGATTCTTCAATCTCACCAAATTCAACCACCTTTTCACCACACCTAACGTGCCACACGTGACTCGAGGTGTGAATATAGAAAACTGTAAACAAATCATTAATTCAAGTCATCATTTTCTCATTGATCAGATTAATCGTCATCATATTTAATGGAATTTAACTTAATAGTACTAATCCTCTGCATGTTAGTCATTTTATGGTTCATCTTGCACTATTTTGCAAAGCCAACGGTGCCAATAAGTGATAGAAAAAAGAGACATTTATGGAAAACTAGTCTTAGTACATTTGATAAGGATGTCTTATTATTTTGCAATATCTGCGAGCATTTAACATCACAATTTTCCTTTTTTTGTGAATATTGTTCAGTCGCATGTGATAAAATTGAATGTACAAAAATTGCGGATCAATCAATAAGATGTAAGCAACAAAGAGATCGCAATAATAATAATGCGTCATCCAATAAACATCTTTATTTGAAAGGCAATCTATCGGATACAGTATGTAGTATCTGCAAATCAGAAATTGATGGTGTACATGATGTAGGCATTCATGGAACTAAATGTATTTGGTGTTTTAAGAGCTTCCACGATTCATGTGCTAAAAATGATTTAATCTGTGATTTTGGGCAACTCCAAAATGTAATTATTCCACCATTCTCAGTAAAGGCATGTAGAACAAGTAATGCACCTAAATTGCATTTAAAAGAAATAACTCCAATACCTGAATGGAAGAATTGGGAACCGCTTATAGTCATTTATAATGAAGCTAGTGGATCAAATGATCATGAAATAGCTACACTCTTCCGACGCTTATTAAATCCAATTCAAGTTATATCCTTAACCCATCGCGGACCAACAGAAGCATTGGAAATCATCAAATTATGTCCAGTAAAATGTCGTTTATTAGTTTGTGGTGGGGATGGATCAGTTGCATGGTGTTTAAATACAATAAAGGAGATGAATCTTGATGATAAAGTATCGGTAGCAATTTGTCCACAAGGAACCGGCAATGACTTATCAAGGGTCCTTAATTGGGGATCAGAAACTTACAGCTGTGATTTTGAAACACCATTTACATTTCTGGATAATATAATCAGTGCTGAGACAGTTTTACTCGATCGTTGGCAAATTGAAATGAAATATGACCATCGAGTTCCAGTCATCAGACGTCTGCATCATGATAAAAAGCTTTTCATGTATAATTATTGCAGGTAAGTAATGTGTCATCCACAATGTTCCTTGATTTTAATCTTATATCTCTTCCAGCATTGGCGTAGATGCTTTAGTCACTCTGAATTTCCACAAAGCACGCGACAGTGCATTTTACGTGATCAAAAGTAAAATTATTAACAAGCTTCTGTACTTTATTTATGGGACACAACAAGTAATCACACAAGATTGTGATGGACTGCATGATCATGTAGAAGTTGTAATTGATGGAATCAAACAGGAATTGCCTGAATTACAGAGCGTTATTATGCTTAATATAGACAGTTGGGGAGCAGGATGTAAATTGATAGACATGATTAAAGAGACTGATAAAACTTTTGCAGAAGGTCACTCGATTGACGATGGACAGATTGAAGTTTTTGGAGTCTCCTCTTCGTTTCATATTGCGCAACTCCAAGTTGGTCTAACGAAACCATTAAAATTGGGAAGAGCTAAGGAGGTCCAAGTAAGTTGCAATAACACAAAGTGTGTCTACCTTTCAAACTTCTAATTACAGTCTAATTTGATATCCTTTTACTTTACAGATTAGGCTGAAGAAAATCCTTCCGATACAAATTGATGGTGAACCCCATTTTGAAATACCTTGTCAAATCACGATAAGTAAACATAGTCAAGCACGAATGCTACGTAGAAAATGAGAATGAATCTCTACATTCCTTCCAATATACTCTTGAATTCTCGCATTAACCAAAGCTTTTAATAAATTTTATGTCTGATTTTTTTGTTTTTTTTTTATTATTATTAAACTTATACGTGTGTACCTATTTAAAATAGTTTGTCCTGAAAAAATGCATAAACATGTTGATCAAAAATGATACTATAGTGTCTTAGGGGCCATTCACTTATTACGTAACGCTTTTAGGGGGGAGGGGGGTCTAAGATTTTGTTACGGTTCAAACAAGGAAATTTTTTTTTCATACAAATTTTGTTACGAGGGGGGGGGGGTCTAAAAAGTCATTTTTTCGCGTTACGTAATAAGTGAACAGCCCCTTACTACTTTAAATGAAAGATCTTTGTTGTTTCAGTGTATTATACTTCGTCTTTAAATATTTTTTGAATATACATAATTAAGTAAATTAAATTAAAAAATAAAAAATATGTCGTGTCTAATACTATGCAACATTATATGGACTTAGCAAAACATAATTACTGGGTAAAAATCACATAAAGCTCACGAAACGAAAATAAAAAGAATATCTTAAAATGTTAAAATAGGCATTTCACGATGATCCAAGAGATCCTTTGCTATTGAGTACCAAGGAAGTGTCACATAAGTAAGGAATGAATTTAGAGGTGTTGACGATTGTCGTCTATTCTCTTTCCAAAAATGAAAAGTTTGAGTGAATCCCTTGCTTGTCCACAAAGGATTGTATTGTCCATCGTCTAATTCTGGAAGATATAAGAATGATAATTAGTCATTAGTTCTACGAACTAGGCTGATAATGTAAAGTTTATTGAGCCATATATGTCTGACAATAACAATATGCCATTCATAAATTATGCTCAACAGAGGGGTTTAAATATAAAGGAAAAGTTTAAGGATTTAAATTTAAATCATAGGATTAGAGAATAAAACCACTAGATTAAAAACACTAATCCACAAGATATAAATTTCAAGACATTGGAAATTGTAAGCAATAATTTGTCAACCTCTCTTGATCTTCTTTGGCAAGTCGCACAGATACAGAATTTTAGTTCCATCAGCCGTAATCCTTTGCGGTATTGCTATCGCTTTCTTAAATTTCTGTTTATTCATCAATGGTAATGTTGAATATTTAACATTATTATCAGCTGCTTTCTCATCACAATTGTTATTTCCATCTGACTCATCTTTCGTCAATGACTCTTTTTTAGTTCCAAAACTCTCAACAGGGTTGTTATTATTGATGTTATTGCTTGCTGACTCTGTGATTTTACCTTTGTTTGCCTTCTTCGGGGACTTTTTACATTCGAATGACTTTTTGAGGAACGATAAAGATCTATTATTAGAACATTTCTTTGTCTTATCATCTTTGTCGTCTACACACGGCAGTTCTTCTTTCCCATTCACTCGAATCATGTTCTTCTTATCATTTTCAGTCATAATTCCGATTTTTATATTATTACTTATGTCAATTGCTGTTTCTATGTCTTCCTCATCGGCTGCTTCACTTCCAATTTCATAAACTTCTTGTTCTGTCTTTGTCTTTGACTTATTCTTGCCTTTCAGTGGTGACTTTTTAGCACTCAACTTCTTATTGAAATTCTTTGAATATTCAATTTCACTTTCGACATTAAGTAACGTCTTAACTTGATCTGGATGTTTATGCTTACTTATTGTCGATAAGCATGCAGGTGAATTTGTGATATGATCTGGACATGGAGGACAGTAAATTTCTGATAGTTGAATTGAATTCCTAGCACCAGTTTTTGATGGAATGCAATCGCAACATGCTGTCGGAGATGTCAATGCTTTGGACGTTTGCCTTTGACGACGACGACTTATGCTTGTCAATTTTGTATCCGATAATGACGAAGCAGGACGATCTATAATGACATTTGTATTTTGGTTTGAATGATTACGTCTTTCAAATGTTCTTCTACATTTCAGTTCTTAAGTACCAAACAAACAAAAATTAATCAAATAAAGTTATGATAAATAATAAGGAATAAATAATGTGATGGTAACAAGACTAAGAAAAATAAAGGAATAATATGCTTGTGGATAATTTTGAACAATCGAGAGTAGGAATTTTAAGGAGCGTGAGTGTGTTAATTAAATTAAGGATCAAAATCAAACCAAAACCAGCTATATAAATCGTCCTGCTTATTTTACCTAATTTTAACCTAATTTGTCTTTTATTGTTCAGTCCATAAAGTCATGACTTAATCCGAGATAGTTGCGAATAGTCATGAGCTTTATGGGCATTAATATATTTGATTGAAAAAGTTGGTGTTAAACAGAGGAAAGCAAATCAAGGATAAATGTCTACAATACACATAAGATGCTACATATGTATGCGAATTTATATGATATGAAGCATGCTGGACAAAGCCATTAATCCATAAACAATTACTAAATACATACCATCACGAACATCACCGGCCTCAATTTCCCAAACTTCATTAGCCAACGAGTCAAGACCTTCGTTTTGAGATAGAGCTTTTGAGTTTCCGTAACCAGCTTGATTGTTTGATGATTTTGTTGTACGCCAGCCATTCTTAGAAAAGTTGTTTAAATTTGCACTTGGATCACTAAGTCGTCGTTGATGTTTTTGATTATAGCACTCGTCTAAATCATCTTCACATTCGGAATCAAACATATCGGTCATACAAAATCCAGGTTCAGATGTTGGTGTTTCAATTCCACTTCCTTTTGGTTTAGTCACTGCCATTTCTGCAAATCCTTTATTTCCCGGACCTTTCATTCGAACAAATTCACATCGTGTCTGCGGTGCTGAGTTAAATAATCCAAAAGTCATTCGTTGTGCCATTTTGGAACTTAAACTACTTTGTCGTGCATCATAAACCTTCTTGAGTGCGTCATATCTTATGGATCCTAGGAAAATAACTCCCTGAATACTTCCATCATGATCTTTAGCGACTAGTTCTACGCACACCATCTCACCGTCACGGACTAAAATGTCACTGAAAACCTCATCAAAATTATCGACCATGAAGCATATGTGCGGGTACGTAATCTCTTCAGATTCTCCTTTAGAGTCCATTTTTCGTCTAGAAGGACTAGCATAGACTCTTTGTGAATGTCTTTTTAAAATTTGAAGCTCTTTGGGCGATGTCCTTGTACAAATAGCAAGTGTCAAATAATAATCAAACTGATGAATCACACAATTCAGGTAGACTGTTTCCTCCCAGTCTACATCAGGGTCACCAATTGGAAGCTTCTTTGAATCCTTACGAAACACCTCAATTTCATCCTCATACTTTGGTTTACTCCGACTACTTTCCTTAATATACTTCTTTCGAACAAAAAATAAGAGATCATCAGAATCAATTGCGGCTTTTTGATGATTTTGGAATAAGAAATGTCTAACAAAAATTTCAGTCCATTGTGTATTCCCTTGCAGCACAACGAATCCAGAATCTATGGATATACGAAAAATTATGAGGGTTGGGGTAGTTGAAAAAATCGGAAAAATCAATAATTTTGTCGACAATGTAAAAACTTCATTTTTTTACCATCCTTCATCAAATTCCGCATTTCCTTTGTCCTCTGGTAGTTTATATCCTCTAATAACTGCATTAATGGCGATAATTTTACCAGAGCTCCCTTCAAATCCATTATTTCTTGACTATTTCACAATACGTCTTTTTTCGTGAAAATCTATTCAATTCTCACAGCCCCAACGATTTCTTTAAATGTCCCTTTGCATTTGTGTACTTTTATTTAAATCTATAATGTTTCTATAATTAATTAACTTTACATTCCGAAGAAAATCTTATTTATAAAAAATTTCTTCTTTATTTTGTCTTTTGTTCAAAAAATTTGAAGCGGGGAAGTCTACTCTTTTTTCTCCAAGCATGCAAAGTTGTGTTTGAGGTTTTGCGACAAGAGCGCACGCTGATCGAAAAAGTGAAAATTTTGTCAAAAATTCAGCTTATATGCTCATGTTGTAGACATTGGTCCCTGGTTTATGGGAAAAATAATTTTTTTTCCCTGGAAGTGTCTGGTCCACGAGAAAAGAAGGTTTGAATTTTTGTACTTCATGTAATTTTTATTTTTAAAATGCTATTGTGCTTCACCTACTTAGGGGCCGTTCACTTATTACGTTCGCACTTTAGGGGGGAGGGGGGTTTAAAAATTGTAACAAAATTTAACATAGGGGAGGGGGGGGGGTCAAGAAGTATGTAACATTCTAAAGTAACAAATCAATAGAAAACTGGTTTACAAGACCTTAAAATACAATCATAATTTGTGGAAATTTTCAAATTTAAATCAATCATAAGTTTAAAAGTAAATCCCTCTAAATCTGTCATTCATATGATGATTAATATAATCCCATCATTGTGATATTTACATTCAAAGTTGATTGAATTTTTCAAAATTCGATCGGGCATAATATTTTTCATGACATTTTTGAATTTTCTTCAAAAAAAATAAATTTTTGCTTTATATCTTAATCCAATAATGAGAATACTAATAGTATCAATCAAAACATGACCTATTAAGCTGTCCAGTATTTTGATGTTTAAGAAAAAAAAAAGAAAAAAGAAATTTAACCGTCTTTTTAGATTTAAAAGAAATAAAATAAAATTATGTACGTTCAGGGGGGGGGGGGGGGGTTGTGAGTTGTAACATATTGTAACAATTGGGGAGTGGGCGTTTTTTGCGTAACGTAATAAGTGAACGGCCCCTTATCCGTTTGTCTCCAAATATTTTTTATTTGATAGGTATAAGTTCTTAATTAAAAACTTTTGTTGTGGATGTTAAGTACATTGCTTTTTGAATAAAACCTGAAAATTTCAGTTCCTTTCATTAAGACTGGTATGTGAAAATTCATTTTGAATTAAATTGCTGAATCGCATTTCTTTCACAAAATTTTGTCACTTAAATTTGTTTACAAACGTTTTACCGGTAAGTTTATTAATTAATCATTTACTTATAGTTATTAAAGCTTAATCTGCTAATTTCAACTTATCTTTTCGATCTTCAGCTCACTTTTGTTCTATTGAATAATAATTCTTCCTGCTCAAGTTTTTAAAGTCTTCAATTTTTTATTAACCTAGATCCAGTGGATTAGCGATGGAACTTGAATGTCAATTTAAAATTCAGAACTTCAGATTTCATAGCCACGGAAAAAACGAGTCTCAAGTCAACTATAGCAAATTCTTCTTAAACAAAATGTGGCAACATAAGATTCCATAATATGATAATACTGTCCACTTCAACGAACTCATCACCATTGACTATCTTTCTCGTCATATCTTTTTGCCCTGCTAGCGCATTATTTGGACCCATGGACAATTGCAGAATGTTTGATATGCTGCCGAATGAGCATGGCTTCCGAACAAATCTATAACGATATAACAAGCGGATCTATTCCATTAATGCGCGCGTTCATCGTCCGGAAATCGTCCATGAAGATATGATCAGCTGCAAATTCACCAATGAATTCCAAGTCCTGTGTAATCCTCACAACATGTCTGAGTACCACATTATCCCTCTTGTGAAAATGATTTGGATGGGCATGCACAAAGAAATCCATACACTCAGGGTGAAAGCACACGAAGAACTTCTTTCCTAATTGGATCAGAGTGAGTGTCATATTATACCTCCGTGCATATCGTCTAAAATCCACAATTCGGACTGTTACAGACCATCTTATCCAATTCCACTCAATGTGCCTGTTATTGACATTGCAGAGTCATATGCGAGGTTTGCGTCAATGCAAAGAAATTTTGCTGCCTAGGTCAGTTTGGCTTGGGTCTGTCTTAAATACTGCCAAAACATTCGTTGATTGTATAGAACCTGTTGGATATCTGTCTGCGTGATTCATTAAAACAGCATTTTCCCCATCCTTATTTCTACCGTATCCACCCATAACACATTCGACTAAGAAAGTTTAAAATAAGTAGGGCCTCGTCACAAATAAAATTTAAAAAGTCAGGAAAAAGCTCTTATAATAGTCAAAACAGCTAGTGTATTATCTTAAATACTTCGTATTCAAATCATAATGATTCGGATTAATGATTGAATAAATAATTAATACACGTTGGGGGCCGTTCACTTATTACGTTACGCAAAAAAAAAACTTTTTTCACCCCCCCCTCCTCTCCTTCTTTGTTACAATATTTTACAACTCACAACCCCCCCCCCCCCCCCCCCCCCCGAATTTTCATAAATTATTTTATTTTGATAATTTTTTATTCTAAAATGACGGTTAAATTTCTTTTGTATTTTTTTTCTTAAACATCAAAATACTGTCCAGCTAAATAGGTCATGTTTTGATTGATACTATTAGTATTCTCATGAATTATTGGATTGTGATATAAAGCAAAAATTTGTTTTTTTTTGGAGAAAATTCAAAAATGTCATGAAAAATATTATGCCCGATCGAATTTTGGAAAATTCAATCAACTTTGAATGTAAATATCACAATGATGGGATCATATTAATCATCATATGAATGACAGATTTAGAGGGATTTACTTTTAAACTTATGGTTGATTTAATTTTGAAAATTTCCACAAATTATGATTATATTTTAAGGTCTTGTAAACCAGTTTTCTATTGATTTGTTACTTTATATGACAAAAACTATGTATTGCTTAGCTATCAAAAGTGATCTTGACATTCATAAATCATTAAAAAGTTGGAAAATTTAAAAAAATGTTTTTGGTGTGAATTTGTAAACAAATTTTTTTCGTGAACTTTTTTTTAAAAGACAGACGACAATTAGAATGTTACATACTTCTTGACCCCCCCCCCCCCCCCCTCCCCTATGTTACATTTTGTTACAATTTTTCAAACCCCCCTCCCCCCTAAAGTGCGAACGAAATAAGTGAACGGCCCCTTGAAAAATCCTTAAAAAACGTTGAACCACATTATTATTTAATATATTATTATTATTTACTTACTTTTCCAGTACTGGGGGTCCTCGATTTGAGTAGTTGTTTTGTTCCAAAAAATTTCTACTCAAATCGAATCTATTCAAATCGAGGCAAAGAATCCATACAAAATCACATGTTTTGTTCCAGAGTCCAAAAAATGTATCAAAACAATGAAAATTTTGATAATTTTTTGCACATTTTACCTATTTTCTTAATTTTACCTATGTGTTTTAGATAACTTAATTTATTTCAACGCATATATTCATATTGTTTTTAAACAGAAATTCACAAAAAATATGTTTTTGAAACAAAACAAAAATATGAGAACCTTGCAAATGTTATTTAACCGAACAATTTGTAGGGTTTTTGAATTTGAACTTTTTAAAACCGTTAATTTTATATCGATTTTTTAAATTTTTACTTTAATTTTGTAACTTTAGTATTGATTTTTCGATCAATATGATAAGTTCACGCTTATTGCAGAAAAATTTATGTTTAAAAATATTTTCTGAAATGTTTTTATCAAAATATTTGTTTTGTAAACAATTCAAATCGAAGAAAACAGGAAGAAATCTACTCAAATCGAATATTTTGGTGGGTAATAAATTTTCTGTTCAAATCGAATCTACTCAAATAGAATCTACTCAAATCGAGGACCCCCAGTATCCTTTGCCTTTCAATTGTTCCAAAACATTTTGGATCTGCTCGTTAGTCACGATTCCATCCAATTCAATATATAAAGTATGAGCATTCATGCGGTTTCCTGGAACTGCTTTCAAATGATTGCCTGGTACAAAAACTGTATATTGCCAGTCATGGTCTTCAGAAAATTGCTCAGTACTGATAGTGTCTCGTAAATATATGCTTGGATTCATAATTGTGTCAGGATCAAAACGACCTGGATTTTATATGGTTAGCACGTTTTGTCCGAGAATCGGCAATTCTGCTATAAGCCTTTCAAGTAATGCTTCATTATCATCCAATAACTCACCACCATTCAACGCAGGAACTTGTTGATCATCATTCAATACAGGTATTTCATAATCCAAAATTTCAGGCAGCACAGGAACATCATCATCTACATATTAACTCATCAATAAATATTTCAGGCACACGTTGATCGTTAACATCATCCAATTCAGGCAAAACAAAAGCATCCAAATCATCAGCGATACTATAGGCATGTTTTCAAAATCAAATAATTCAGGCAGCACAGGATCAGCATCTATTAACTCATCATCCAATTCAGGTAAACGTTGATCGTTAACATCATCCAATTCAGGCATATCATCAGCATCCATATCATCATCATACGATACAGGCATGTATTCTTCATCCAAGATTTCATATATGTCATTAGCAGACTCCAATAGCTCATCATCAAATATTTCAGGCATGTCAACCAATAGCTCAGCTTCATCCAGTATTCCAGCATCATAAACAGGCATATCATCAGCATTAATATCATTCTCTACAACATTTATTGGTTCATCCGGATTGTTGTGATTATAAATCATCTGGGTCATGTCTATGATTTTTGCTCCAAAAGTAGTCTTGTACCTATTCGTATCAAGGTCACCGATACCATACTGCTCTTGATAATGAGTGAGTTTTAATAAAAGTGCTTGAACTGCACGGAGCCGTTTTGTCATATTCTCAAGTCCATTTTCACCTTCACAGCTATTATTGTCGATATCTACCTGCCATGACTTAACTTCCATATTTAATTTGTTTTTTAATCCTTTAAGTAGTTTTGCTATTTTAAATAGAGAAATAAGTACGTATGAATTATAACGCATCAATTAGAATCATGTTAAAAGAAATAATTGAAACATTTGTAAAGTTCATACATATAATTGATATTAAAGGAGTAGAATAAAAAATATATACATGATCCTGAAAAGTTTAAAAGTTTGTGTGATATTGGAAGTGTGAGAGAAAAAGTGAAAAGTATACCTAGGTCATTTTAACAGCGAATATAAAAAATATATATATCTAAGCAGAGCTAAATTGCTTTTGAGCACAAAATGAAACATCATGGAAATCTAATGTCTGAGGAGCTACATATTAATGCAAAAAGCTTGAGCAAGAATCATTAGTACCCGCTTATGGCTCAAAGTGCACCAAAAGCTTTAGCAGGGATCTAATAGAGATCCTAATTTTAACAAAATATGTAGCATAGTTAAATGGCAAGTAAAAAGGATGAAAATCTAATGTCGTCATAGAAAAAACGTGGAAAAAAAATGTCTGAAAAGATAAAAACAAAATTATAGATTAATGCATAATAAATTATGCATTAATTGACGCTTATAAGGTCACTTAGTCACCTCGACGTGGTCTTTGCTGTTGCTGCTGGTTCGAAGACATCATTGACGATTATATAATTAAAATATTAACTTTGTATTAATACTATGGGTTCTCGATTTGAGTAACGAGAATTAATGAATAGAAAATTTAAAATGCTTTTTGTAACGGACATTTTTCATACAAAGAGTAAATAATTCGATTTCAGTAGATTCGATTTGAATAGGATTTTTTTGGAACAAAACACCTACTCAAATCGAGGACCCCCTGTACTCCTGTTTGTTTGTTTTTGGTTAGCAACGAGAGCTTTATCATAAAGTTTTTTTGTCTTTGTGTCAAAAAAATTGAATTGTAATTGTCTATCATCAGGAACTAATGACCAACTTGGATGTTCGTGGTTTAATGATTGACAACATTAAAAATTTGAAAAAAATCCCTTTCGGACTGACTAAGGTCTTTCCAAACTTGATATATCTACAGACTCGTAGATGTGGATTAACAAGCTTGACTAAACGGGATCTTTTTGGATTGGAAAATTTGAAAGGTTTGTGGCTGCCTGAGAATAATATAGTAACACTAGATGCAGATGTCAATTAAAATCTATAATTCTGTTTTTATCTTTTCAGACATTTTTTTTCCACGTTTTTTCTATGACGACATTAGATTTTCATCCTTTTTACTTGCCATTTAACTATGCTACATATTTTGTTAAAAATTAGGATCTCTATTAGATCCCTGCTAAAGCTTTTGGTGCACTTTGAGCCATAAGCGGGTACTAATGATTCTTGCTCAAGCTTTTTGCATTAATATGTAGCTCCTCAGACATTAGATTTCCATGATGTTTCATTTTGTGCTCAAAAGCAATTTAGCTCTGCTTAGATATATATATTTTTTATATTCGCTGTTAAAATGACCTAGGTATACTTTTCACTTTTTCTCTCACACTTCCAATATCACACAAACTTTTAAACTTTTCAGGATCATGTATATATTTTTTATTCTACTCCTTTAATATCAATTATATGTATGAACTTTACAAATGTTTCAATTATTTCTTTTAACATGATTCTAATTGATGCGTTATAATTCATACGTACTTATTTCTCTATTTAAAATAGCAAAACTACTTAAAGGATTAAAAACAAATTAAATATGGAAGTTAAGTCATGGCAGGTAGATATCGACAATATAGCTGTGAAGGTGAAAATGGACTTGAGAATATGACAAAACGGCTCCGTGCAGTTCAAGCACTTTTATTAAAACTCACTCATTATCAAGAGCAGTATGGTATCGGTGACCTTGATACGAATAGGTACAAGACTACTTTTGGAGCAAAAATCATAGACATGACCCAGATGATTTATAATCACAACAATCCGGATGAACCAATAAATGTTGTAGAGAATGATATTAATGCTGATGATATGCCTGTTTATGATGCTGGAATACTGGATGAAGCTGAGCTATTGGTTGACATGCCTGAAATATTTGATGATGAGCTATTGGAGTCTGCTAATGACATATATGAAATCTTGGATGAAGAATACATGCCTGTATCGTATGATGATGATATGGATGCTGATGATATGCCTGAATTGGATGATGTTAACGATCAACGTTTACCTGAATTGGATGATGAGTTAATAGATGCTGATCCTGTGCTGCCTGAATTATTTGATTTTGAAAACATGCCTATAGTATACGCTGATGATTTGGATGCTTTTGTTTTGCCTGAATTGGATGATGTTAACGATCAACGTGTGCCTGAAATATTTATTGATGAGTTAATATGTAGATGATGATGTTCCTGTGCTGCCTGAAATTTTGGATTATGAAATACCTGTATTGAATGATGATCAACAAGTTCCTGCGTTGAATGGTGGTGAGTTATTGGATGATAATGAAGCATTACTTGAAAGGCTTATAGCAGAATTGCCGATTCTCGGACAAAACGTGCTAACCATATAAAATCCAGGTCGTTTTGATCCTGACACAATTATGAATCCAAGCATATATTTACGAGACACTATCAGTACTGAGCAATTTTCTGAAGACCATGACTGGCAATATACAGTTTTTGTACCAGGCAATCATTTGAAAGCAGTTCCAGGAAACCGCATGAATGCTCATACTTTATATATTGAATTGGATGGAATCGTGACTAACGAGCAGATCCAAAATGTTTTGGAACAATTGAAAGGCAAAGGATACTGGGGGTCCTCGATTTGAGTAGATTCTATTTGAGTAGATTCGATTTGAACAGAAAATTTATTACCCACCAAAATATTCGATTTGAGTAGATTTCTTCCTGTTTTCTTCGATTTGAATTGTTTACAAAACAAATATTTTTGATAAAAACATTTCAGAAAATATTTTTAAACATAAATTTTTCTGCAATAAGCGTGAACTTATCATATTGATCGAAAAATCAATACTAAAGTTACAAAATTAAAGTAAAAATTTAAAAATCGATATAAAATTAACGGTTTTAAAAAGTTCAAATTCAAAAACCCTACAAATTGTTCGGTTAAATAACATTTGCAAGGTTCTCATATTTTTGTTTTGTTTCAAAAACATATTTTTTGTGAATTTCTGTTTAAAAACAATATGAATATATGCGTTGAAATAAATTAAGTTATCTAAAACACATAGG